CAGAATCCGGCCCCCACTTAGAAGAGACTCCCAAACGGACGGCTCGGCTGGACAGTCGTCGAAGTCGTTGCAAAAAAGGGAACCGTTTTTCCGAGTCCCTTCCGAAATAGCTGTACTGTATGCAATGGCAAATATTTCTTAATTTTTTTTTTATACTTTTTTTTTTCATTTTTCAAAGCCCCAAGTTGATAGCAGGAATGACTAGCTGTAAACAAAGTTTGGCTATGTGCTTCCTGGCAGGAAAAAATGGTGCAGACAAAAAATAGCCTTCAGCCAAAAAAAAAATGTCTGGCACGAAAATTGTATGAAATTTTTGGCTGACCTCTAGTGAGCCTAGCTGGCACAAAACGTGTATGAATGAGTCCCAATTAAAATGTATGAATTTTCTGAAAATCTGGGATTTTAGGTTACTGACATCTACAGAGGGTTTCCTGGGTCCTCTTGTGGCCTGCAAGAAGATTTACACAGACTTTGAGTTTGTCGGATCTTCGACACTCTCCTTCACAATTTTCCAAAAGAAAAAAAAAAAAAAAAAAAAAAAACAGAAAGAAAACGAAAAACACAAGAAAGTGTGATACATATCATCAAGCATCCACACAGAACTCTGGACCAGTTTCGAACGAACAGGACAATACCCTACAAGCTAGCGAAGACCGACCAAAGCACATCTTCTTATACACCCAACCGATCATCCTCCAATCCAAACACAACATCTTCTCGTTCTTTCTTCATCACTGCTTCCAGCAATCCCCTTCGCTCGTTACCATACAACTATTAACACGCCTTCCGGTCCGACTCTCTGAACATCCGCAGTCGATTCTTGATCACTGCCTCGTTCATCATCCAACACACACACACACACGTCCATCCACCGAATAATCGAACAAACCCCCGACATTACATTTATACATACCAAAACACATTCTTTTTTCTTTGTTGTTTTTGTTGACAATTGATACAAATGTGGTAGGTTTTATATCTTGAAAAAAAAAAAAAAAGAGGAAGCTGTTTGTAGGAGAAGAGAAACGAGATGACATGGATGATTCCGGCCGCCGGGACAGCGAGCTTGACGCACTACGACCTTCCGTTGAACTACCTAGCATCGTACGTGACCCGCGCCCAGATTGCGACAATCCGGGCGAAGCCACGTCGAGATAATGGCGGCCGGAAGACCACACAATTCTGAGCGCTAACGGCGCGACAAATTTCTGCTTTTTCCCCCCTCTTCCCAAAAAAAAAATGGGGAACGATGTGGAAGACAGATGTGGATGTGCATATGGGGCGAGTTACCATGCGACGGCGGCGTTAAGTTCGCTCGCCTACAGCGGGGACGAGCGGCAGAGCATCGGGCCGGGGCCGGGGTGCGGGCGATGCTTCCGACTGACGTTGCGCTCGGCCCATGGCGTCGACCCGCCGTTCGTGCCTGCCGATCCCAAACCATCGGTGGTCGTCAAGATCGTCGATAAGTGTCCTTCGCCCGAGTTCTGTGCGGCTACTCGGACTCATCCTAATAAGGTCTACCCCCCTCTCTCTTCGTAGTTGTGGAGTTATGGTGTTGTGAACTGATCGCTTGGTTGGACTGCTTGCGCTTGGGGATTCCAGATCGGCCAGCAAATTCATTTCGACTTGGCGCTGCCCTCGCCGGCCTTAAACCTCTCCTTTTTCCCGTCGAATGTGGAGCTGTATGGATACAGCGACTTCGGGATCTGTAAGACCTCTTTTTTTTTCCCCCTCCTTGATGACTTTTCCATGGATCGAACACTGAAATCACTTGTACAAGGGAACATCGATTATGAGACGGTGTCCTGTGAGGAATGGGCCGGCTGGACCAACGCCTCGTCGTTAGGCGTCGAGCGGAGTTATCCGGGGTATGAGGAGAGTTGCTGTCCGACGAACCCGCCCTATGTACGAGCCGCTCCCCTCCCCCCTCATTTCACACACACACACCAAATCCACAAAAAAAAAAAAAAACTGAAATGTTTGTTTTTTGTGGTTGTAGACCAATGAAGTCTGTGCCAAGTCGATCAAAGCGCCTCCTCCAGCAACCACCTACAAGTCGCCGGCCGCATCTTCCCCTCCTCCGCCCAATCCGCGTCTCATCTTCCTGTGCGCGTCGGCTTGGCTCTCGCTCTCCTTGACCGATTCTTTCCCGCTCTTCTTGCGCCTCCTAGACACTCATCATTGACTTTGTGAAGGCTTAGTTCTCGTCGGCTCACTCCACCTGTCTCTCTCTTTTATTAATCTCCTCATGAATCAATCATGGCTTAGCATTGATGAGGATCCTTGAATGTTGTCTCTTTATTATTACCAGTATCAATTACAATCATAGACCTCCTTTCCCACGTTTATCTTGTTTCTCATCGTGTTGAAATAAATATTCCCCTACTATCTACGAGACCTACCAAAAAAAAAAAAAGACAAATTCCATACTTTTCTCTTCAAAAAAAAAAAAAAAAAAGGAAAAAGTTCCAAATTATCCGGTAAGAAAACAAGACAAGCTGGAATAGATAAATAAGAAGACAAGTGATGGTATAATCATAGACAGATGTATACAAAACATATATATATATACAGACAAGCACCAGAGACCCAACAAAAGAAAAGACATCCAAAATGCCCAGCCCACAGTCCACCAACCCAGACGAATGTCAAGAAGCCGAGCAAACGAAGACCCCGGTGGCAGCCTCTCAGCAACGAAACAAGATCCCCAATTTTTGTTCCAAAGCGAGAGAGTACGACGAAAAGGAGAAAACAGAAGAAGAAGATAAGACAAAGCGCCACGGGCGCCAAAAAGAAGCAGAAGAATTACGGATGATTGTGGGGCGAGAAATGGGGCGGATTGGGGGGGATGAAGGGGGACGAGAGGAGGCCGAGATCGGGGTCGTCGAAGGCCAAAGCGGAGATTTCGAGGGGGTCCCAGCTGGTCTCATCGGAAGGGCCGAGAAGCTCTGGGACCTGCGGACGAATGTGCTCGTTGTAGACGGGGAGGGTCCGGGGAAGAGGACGGACTTGGGCGGGCGCTGGATGGGTCGGTCGAGCGTTCATTGGATCAGTTGAGCGGTCAGGGTTGCGCGTCAGATTGACAAATGAATGTCCTGCACTAGGGTTTCTAGGAAGATTTCCCGTTGGATTTCCAGGAAGATTTCCTGTTAGATTGTGAGGTAAATTAGCGGGAGGATTAACGTTTCCAAGCGGCGGCAAGTTGGAAGCGACAGCAGCAGCAGCAGCAGCACCGCCAGCAATAGCAACAACAGGGACAGGAGGGGGAGGAGGGGCAGACGGCGGGACGGAGGGCGGCGACGGACTGTTGTTGTCGGTCTCGTCTGAGGGCGGACTGGCGAGGGATTCTAAGACAGACGGGTTCTCGACTTCTAACAAGTCGACCAAGATCTTCAAGGTCTTCGAATATACGGTGGCTGTATGTGCACTTGATGTTTGTGAATTGGATTTGAATGATAAGGAATAAAGAATCCATAGTATCCCCAAGTCAGTATTCTGGTAAGTGTGGATTATATTGAGCTTTTAAAAACGAAGAAAAAAGGGGACGAAACCTAGGCGCGAGTTCATCCAAGATCTGAATGCCCAAGGAGATATGATCTCTACGCATAAGATCCTCGAGCCTATTGATGAACTTGCGCTGTTTCCGAATCGAGCAAATCAGGAGGATAACGGCGAGGGTGATTCTAGCGGGCAGCCAGAAGAAGGTGCTGGTGAGCAGGCCGCGCAGACGCAGCTTGCTCATCTCTTGGATCGCCGAGACCGCATACTTCACACATCGACTCATGTGCGGCCTCTTCCTTTTCTCTCCCCCGCCCCCTCCTCCCACTCGCCCGCCGACTCCGGCTCCTGCCCCCACTTCCCCGTCGGCTCCCGTCCCATTGTGACGCTCGCTTCCTTCCTCATAATCGAATAAGGTTCGATGGATTAATTGTTGGAATTCGTAGTATGACCTATCAAACCAAAAAAAAACCCACCCGATGATTTAAAACATCAATCTCAACGAGAAACATGAAATGATTTTTTTAGAGAGGGGAAGACATACGTAGTGACGAGGACGGAGAACATCAATTGTTCAGGACCGCTTTCGACATTCGAGCGTTTCAAGAAGAGAGGAAGCTGATCGAACCATTTGGCGGCCTGTTTATCGATCTGATCGACGAGGTTTTTGAGTGTCTTAGCGGAGCTGGCGGCCTTGGGGGAGTTTTTATCTGCCTTGATCAGGTTGAGCAAGGGCAACATGGAGTGGAGCGAGCCGACTTGCAAGAGCGAGACCCGGACGACATCGAAGCCGATGTAGATCTCTCGGACCTCCCGTGGGATCGGACTATACGGATTGATGAAGATCCCAAACGGGTCCCCTGGTTGTGGAAGTGGCGGCTCTGAATGTCACGCATGTGTTGGCTAACTATCAGTCCCCTTCCCCTTCCTGGCCCTCCCTTCCATCTTTCATCTCAACCTTGATCAACTCTTATAATCTTTCACTCACTCAGATCAAAATCCTCGGCTTCGATCGACGGCGTTCGGTCCAATGTCGCACTGATCTTATGATCCAATTCATAGAGCTGAAAAAACGCCTGTCGACGTAGATAATCTTGCAGTGGATTCGAATTCCAACGTTTATGTACTTCACGATGAGCGCCAGATTCCTAAACAAAAAAAAAAACGCAATACTCAATTACCGAGAATTTAGACAATTGATTTTTTTAAAAGTGGGGTTGAGAAACAAACTTGAGCGCGTAGTAAGCCCTGTTCGACGAAGATCCAAGAGATCGTAGGTTGAAGAGCCCCAAGAGAGGCGACCACCAAGAGGACGAAAGCCTGCAACTCGAAGAGCGAAGTCTGATGATCGAAGAGTTGAAAGAGGGACAGATAGGCGGCATAAGCGTAACGCAAGCCGCAGAATTGCCGAGAAGATTGCGGGTTTCCGGCGAGATCGAACAAGACTCTCGGGTCAGGAGAATGACGACTAGCGATTGAGAAGATGAGCAAGCAGAGCGCTCTGAAGGATTTATCGGAGTGGGCCAGTCCGGATTGATGGAGCGCATGGAAAGTGGGGGGATGGATGATAGGAATGAGGGGGTGGAAGTGTTGGAAGTAGATCCTGATCAGCTCCAGTTCGAGGTCGGGGTCGGGATAGAAGCAGGTCGTAGTGGCCACATATTCGGCGCGACGGGTCCGGATGAATTGGTCGACTGGATAGGCCGGTAGGGTGTTACTGATGGGCGGTAGATTGGGCAGCCGGAAGGCCGCGGCCTCGGGTGTGCTGAAGAGCGAGTTGGGTCCGATGTAGCTCTCCGGCTGGATGGTCACCCCGGTGTACTCGCCCATCGGCTTGCTCTTGTCCGGCTCGCTCCAATGGGCCGTCGTGATCGGGGCCTTCGAGGGCACCCGAAGCCCATCGAATCCGGTCAAGACTATTGCCGAGCCTGGGAAGCTTCTGCTCGATGGCTCGCTACTTGGAGGAATCTGATCAGTCCGAGCCTCTTCACGCTCTTGGACCGTCGTTAGTTTGGATGTCGAGGCGCAGCGGTTCTGGGGAGATAGAGGATTGGTCGTCGTAGACAACGAGGACTCATCATAGAATCGTGAGGCTAGTCGGAATGGGTTGGGCAAGTCATTCAGATCGATCGTCGGATCTACCGCATGAAGCAGTCGTTCTAATGACCTGATCCTGGCCGTGAGTTGTTCGACATCCCTTATAAGCCAAACCCCCAATCGATGTCATTATTACAATCAAGATGTTTTTCCGATTAGAGTAGGCTCAGGAGGACGTACTTGTAGGTCGGTGGTCGTTCGGTCAAGCTGCCCGGGTTGGCAAACGTGCACGTCAGTCCGGCCTTAGCGCAAGCATTACAGCGCCCATTCTAGTATTACGTAAACATGGGGTTTTTGTGAATAACATCAGATACAACAACAATTTAAGAGACAGAGAAGAGCAAGCTGTTGACCTCAAAGACGCATTTGACTTTGCTGGCCCGACATCGATCGCAACTCCGTGGGATACCTAAGTAATTATCGACCGAGCACCGAGTGAGATAAATGTACTTTGTGAGGCTTGGATACAAAAGAATGGATGATGATGATGACGTACGATACCTGCGTCGTTTGGAGTGTTCAGTTTGTTGTTGTTGTTGTTGTTGTTGTTGCTGGTCTGAGTTCATGTCTTTCCTTCCTTCCCTCAAACTAGTTAGGAGTGGTTGAGTGGGAGTGGGTGTGGCGTTGTGTGCTCGTGCTCTTCCGATTGCTCGGCCCCAGCCGAGACTGCGCTCCTCTTTAACTTCCCGGGTATTCCTCCCGCGATCAAGCTCCGGCACTCTCCGGCACCCATCCGAGTCAACCAACAACCGAAAACATAAATAAGTATTTACAACCATCATGATCTCTTCCTCAAGACTATCATCATCAGTCTATCGACCAAGGCCGATCAGAAGAGGCCCATCCAGCAGACTGATTTCTTCACCTACTACCAACTACACCTCCTTCGCTCCGCCAATCCATCCCAGAATTACCCCCGTCTCAAGCACCCTCTCCCGACCTCCTTTTCCTGCGTCTTTTGTTCGCTTCGGCTCGTCTTTCAATCCTTGGAAAATGAACTCCGATATCGAGTATCGCGAGCTCAAACCGATCACCGATATGCCTAGCGACGTTCAGTCGTTTTCTCTCTTTCTTATCAACCAAAAAAAACAAAAAACTGAAATTTCTTTGCTTTGTTTTGGTTAGGATGTATTGCTAATAGGTTCGTTACCAAGACCGCGAAAAAAAAGAAGGAGTAGAAAGCTAATTGCGACCAAAAAAAAAAAAAACTGGAATTGAAATTGAATATAGATGTACGAGAAGAGAGCGAAGTGATCCAAGGGAACATCCCCTCCTCGGTGAACATGCCGATGTCGGTATTCGAGAAGACGCTCGACAAGCATCCCGACGAGTTCCTGCAGACCGTCGGCTTCCGCAAACCCCGGCCCGAGCAGAAGATCGTCTTCTACTGTCGCTCCGGCGCCCGCTCGGCTAGGGCCCTCGACATCGCTCGACTCAAAGGCTTCAAAAAGTTCGTCCCCCCTTGCTTTCCTTCTTTTAAACCGCGCGGGGGTCAAGTACTACAGGATGATTGATTTGATTTCTTGTCTTGGTGGGACACAGTGTGAGGAATTATAAAGGCTCCTGGGTCAGTAGTTTATTCCACCCCCCTGCACTATCAGCATCTTCCTGTCTTCATTCATTCCTGCGCATAATATCAATCGAATTAATCCCTGACAGTCTTTGTTTTTTCCCCCATCTATCCGACACATTATCTCCGATCACCCGGCGATCTGTTCTCGAAAACATCCTCCAAAAACACACATCAATCAATATGCCGGTTGTAGTTGGACTGGATCGATAAGGAAAACTCGGCCTGATTTGGCATGTGTTGGCTGCAGTTGGTCATCGCCCCCCCCCCCCCAAAAAAAAGACGAGGGAATTAAGATCCAGTCCGACGTGAGGATCCGCCCCAAAAAAATCCCGGGTTCTTCTGAATCATCGTTTCCATACTTCATCCATCGTTTCCTTGCCTATCTACCCTCGACCCCTCCTCCCCATTCCTTTCTTTTCCTTTCTTTTCCTATTTGTAGGTTTCTTTGCTGTTGTACATCCATACAAGACAAAAATATCGACAAACATAAAAATCTACAAGTTGACGATGAGAAACGTGTTCATTCCCATCGACATATAATGTAAATGTACTTATCTTTGGTGACTACATCTTCAAGTGTAGATTGTGGATGTTCGGCTCGATTGTATTTTAATCGATAATCGTGTAATCAATAAATAACCCTTGATCAAGATCATCTTGTATTGTATGTGATCAATCTCTGAGACTGAATCATAATCTCTCTCTCTCTCCTTTCCATCTTAACACTCATCATCACTGTAACTCTGCTGTTTCTGTGATGACCAATGTTTGCCCTTGGTCATACAAAGATTTCTTCACTCTGGCTACATAAAACTCCTCATACCATCTGTTACACATATTATTCGCATGGGATGATTTCCTGTTGCAACTGTATGTAGCCCTTTTTTTGAATAATGCTTATGAAGACCCCATAGAAGTTCCTTGCAGGCAAATCTCGCAGTCAATTCTGTTGTAGGGTTGCCTGCCCAGACAATGGACATCGACAGAAGGTCAGGCATCCAGGAATTGAGCCGATGTTTTTTTGGTTGCAAGTTAAACTGTGCTAAGCACGAACCAAGGCTTCCTCAAGTTCACGTTCTTCCTTAGCATACATAGTGTGACTTGCTTGCAGGTTTGAAAAAAAGCAAGCCCAAGTTAAACAAGTCATCCCCCCCGTCCCAAGGGAGAAACCCCCGACCCCGGTCGAGTGTGACCCGGAGATTGCACCATAATGGGTGAGGATGATTACGTAATAAATGGCGTTTGAAGCTCCAGAATGGGGGGATGCATATCAAATCAGACACCGCCACGCTGTGGTGTGGATACTCCGGATGGAGTGTGGCCCTCGCCCCCGTTTCCTTCTTCGGCCTTCCGCCCTTCCCTCTCCCTTCATCAACTTTTTGCTCCTCTTGACCACACTTCAACTCCAAAGAGAGTGTCTGGCTGTTGACCATCTCACTGCAAACAACAACAACCAACAACCAACAACCAACCTCACCACTCAAAAACAACAACACCCTTTCATCTACCCAAACCATGTCAGTCTTCTTCTCTCCCTCTCCTCGTCCCCATCCTCCTTGACCCCCAAGAAACCCCTCCGACCTCGTTCGTTGACATGATGGACAATAATCTGACCACCACCCCCATCGATTCTTCTCTTACCTTTCCACAGAGCTATTCAGCAACAGGGCCATGGAGACCTTAAAACGAATGAATAATAATCATAAGTCTAGTCTTGGCGCCAGTATCGGATCTGCTTTCAGCGGAGCAGCCGGTACCGATGGCGCACACTTCATCTCCCCCTCCTCCGTGGACTCTGCTGATCTCAACCAACACCCTACCCCAATCAACGAAAAGACTGAGTCGTCTACTACGTTGGACAGGAAATTAGGATGGTGGCCCTGACGTTGGTATGGAAGAAATGCGTCAGTACTCCTCCTACCTCATCATCCTCTAGACTCTCTCTCTGACTTACATCTATACTTGTACTCAGCTCCCGATGATTACTCTGAGGGAGGTCGCGACCGACATGTGAGAGATGTCACCGCGCCCAACTTTCCTAATCCTTCTTCCGGTCCCGTTTTTGTCAAGTTTCCAAGTTCAACTACCGTTTCGCCCATCACCCCCTCCTCTAGTCCGACTGGTATCGATTGTCACTCGCTTGCTCCTACTCCCCCCTCCACCCAAAATAGGTTAAACAACAACAATAATAACAACAACAACAAGATGATGATGGCCAGCTTAGATTTCAAGACTCGTCGTCCTTCGGTCCACAACGCTCGTCCCAATCCGACCCCCTTATTGACCCCTTGTTCGAGCTCCGATAGTCTTTCTCTTTCCTCCAATGGCTTCAACAACACCCGTCACAGTACCCCTGCTATCCTGACCAAGATCTTCCCTAATGGGATCCCAGATGTCGAAGCCGTTCACGACATCTCCACCCAACTCCCTAATGCGCTCAAGGGGGCCATCGTCGACCGAGACTCGGGGATCCGCTCGCTCTATATCCTCGGACTCACCTCCTCTGTTACTATCGACCGTCAGGTTCGGGATATCGTCGTCCGTGTCTTGGATCTCGCCGACGAGGAAATCGAGGCCGACCAGGTCTTCTTCGCCCTCGAGAAAGATCACCCCATGTTTAGAGAACTCTTGCAAGGTCTCCTCTATGTCGGTGGCAATGTCGTCAAGAACGCTCAACATCAGCCTGTTAATAAGCACTTGGTCTTGGTCGGAATCGAGATCTAATCCAGTCATCAGTCCGAGGATTTTGTTTTTCTCGGGCCTGTTGGCTTCCACTAGATCTCTCCCTGCGATTCCTTTTGTCCTTCCCAAGCATCTGTCACTGTCCTCTAGGCTTTGGTTGACTCATTCTTTGTCCCCTCTTCATTGCCAGGCCCTCCCCCCCCACTTGTTACCTTGTTTTTTTTTTGTTGGTTTGTTTGTTACTCTTGGTGTTGTGTATGTAGCTCCTCATAAGATCTCTTGACCTTTGATGATCAGAGTATTGTTATCAACCCTCAGGCCTGATCCCCTCACTACACATATCCACACACAAATCTACTTTTTTTTTACCTATCCCATATCCCCCCATCTCTCTTTCTCTTCTTACTATCCCCAGCAATTGACCCAGTCTTCTTCTTACTCCCCCTTTTTTTCTTTGCCCCCCTCTTATTCCATTCCCCTGACATATATAAAAAATACAAAATTCCAAAAAAAAAAATTGTTTTCTCTCACTCATATGAAAAATTACAAAAAAAAAAATGTTGGTTCTGTGCTTCACTTTTCTTTGTTCTGTGCCTTTTTTTCTTCTTCATACTGAATATATATATACATGCTTTTTTGAGTCCTCCCCCCTTCTTCCCCCCTCCCCGTAAGTCAATGTCTGAAACATTATAATCTTTTCCTGATGTGGTGATCATGTGTGAGGATGAGGTTGTGTGAGAGTATTGTGAGAGGACTTCTTGGTGGATCTGGGAATCCTCACAGATGTTGATTTAGACCTGATAAGTCTAGAATTCTGCTCGGAAATCTACATAGCTTTTGAGGCTTTAAAGAGCATCTGCATTGGTGTGTGGATTAGGCAGGATTAGCTGCCTAATCTAATCCTCCCAACCATATCGGTGGGTTCTAGAGGTCGGATTACGTTAGCTCCAGGGTCAGTTTTGGAGCTAACGGGGGATTCAAGTTGTATCCCACTACCTAATCCTGGGATTCAAGAGCTTGTTAATCCTCACCAATCCACTCACCCAATGCGGATGCTCTCGATTGTTTCTGCCCTGGGAGACCCGGCCCACAGATAGTGTTGAGAACTTGTCCGGTTTGCTCAGTCAGTCGGGTTGTTTTTGTCTGCTGGATTGGGATTGGGATTTGTTTTTGACAGGTCCTAGAAATTAAAAACAATTATGATGTTGCTGGCACTATGTCACAGACTGCTCACACTCTCTGTTTTTTTTTTTTGGGGGGGGGGGGGGCTTTCAGTATGGACTTGCTCTTGCATGGGCCTTGTTCAGTCATGCTCACTCTGACATTACAATTGGCTTACTCCCTCATTGGTATTTAAAGCAATGAATCCTCTCATTTTTTTGGGGGGGGGGTAGGAGCGACTTACCACCACACACACACAGAGGTTGATGGTCACAACCAAAAAGAATGATAATAAAAGACTGGATTTGGGGCAGGTCTACCAAGGAGCTTTCTGGATGTGTCTTTGGCTTGTGATGTTTTGGGCAGGTGGTCGCTGAAGAGAGAGAGAGAGAGGTCTGTTTGAAGACCAGTTTGGATGGATCGGGCCAGGTGGTGATGAAGAATACAACAATTGGTTGAAGTGAGAGCATCTCCACGGGGGTTGCTAAAATTGGTCGCTATCCCACATTCAGCGACCCAAACTTGAAAAAGATGATCCACCGGAGTCGCCATCCAGGTCACTTTTTTACAATTTTCTTCCTTGATCCCTATCCAGTCTTCAAACTTAAAGACTTGATAGCGACTCTGGATGCAAGGAGGATCACAGGCTACTCCTGTGTTCCTTCTGTGAAACCCAAACACCACACATCACCATCTCGCCCAATCATCAGATACCAATTTCCTCTTAACAATGCCTGGTGTGTGCCTCAGCACTTCGGGTCTTTAAACCTTGAATTCTGGTCGCTATCATGAGAACATAGCAGCCCAAAATTAGTGACTCCCGTGGAGATGCTCTGAGATTTGGTCCAACATGAGGTCTCATCATGATACTTGTTTTACATAGTCTCCATGGGACAACCAGGACATGTCCGTACAGTCTCCACCGGAAATTGCACAGAAGATTCTGGATTAACACTTTTGCTGCTTGGTTCAGAGTGAGGCAGGACAAGACATCATCAGATGTGTCTCTGAAGGAGTAACTTGCAGCTCATCCCCCCCGGTTTTTGTGTGTTCAGCTTGTCATTTTGTTTTGGGGGGAGAATTGTGGGATTGATGTGTTCCAATCTAGTCGCAGTGGCAAATTTTAATGGTCTGGTGGACCTGTTGAGAGAAGGCCAACATTGGATGCCCCTAAGATGTCCAAGCAACTAGTTTTCCTTGCTAAGCTGGCTTCACACCAGGCCTGTTACATGGTTTGATCTTTGAGATTTTGGACCTCTGGATCTGTGAGTGCTTGAGACATACAACCAACCGCCTGCAACAAGTTCAAGAATCAACCTGTAGGCTTTGACCAAATTGGATTGCTACACAAATACACTACCTGGAAGCTGTATCTTCCAGGACACAGCTTTCCATGGATTTCCAAGCTGATTTCCTGCTTGACTGAACTCCAGCTTTTAAGGCCAAGGAAAGAGATTGGATTTTGAAATGTGATGCACAAAAAATAAGCACCTGCTGAGAGACTAGAATCCTGGCTTCTGGGACCTGTTAGACTCATGAAAACGTGATCTCTCACTTTTTCACAATAAAACATTCCAGAAAAGACAGCTAAATAAATGGCTGGTGTACAAGAATCCCTCACACCAAGCCAATCACTTCAGTTGCAAGCCTCTCTTCCAGATGATTGCTTTGGTGTCCCTGGCACACAATTCCCCTCCATCCCATCCATCTGGAATGTGTGCATTGTGTGAGGCTAGAAGGAAGGGTTCCTCCTGGCTGTTGAGACGGTGCAGTCTTGGTGGCCTGGAGAGATTCACAATTGATAGGAGCAAGCAATCCCTCAATGGCCATCAGAAGCAAACTGCCTGTAAGCTCCATGCAACAGGTAAGCTGATTCCTCCTTCCATAGACCATCACATTTGGCCTGCTTCCCTTCATCATGAGTCTCCATGTGGTGCCCCTTAACCAACCTTTGCAAGTCTACTTATTACATAAGAGCATCTCCAACGGAGCTGCTATTGCGCAACCGGGGACCAAATTTGATGGCCCCCGTTGGATTTTGTGCTCCAACGGTCCTGCTAAACAACCCGCCACACATCCCCAGTGGCTCTCAAACCCGCGACCGCCTGCTACCTTTGGCAGCCCAATCCCCAGCCGCAATCCACCTTTCATCCACTCCTCCACCTCCTCCACATCACAAATTCCACCAACATCTCAATCCACACAAGCTTTCCATTCCTTCAACCCAAATTAGAGATGACAATTGGCACCTGTTGGGAGGTACCTGTCACACTTTAAAAACAGGCCCTCCACATTACCAGCCACCAGAAATGCAGGTGGAGTGTCCGGTTGAAATGCTATATCATCATTGCACCCTCTAACTGCATAACTGGCAGCTGTAGTTCTGAAGAGCATGTTGTGAAAGTGTGGCAGGTACCTCCCAACAGGTGCCAATTGTCATCTCTAACCCAAATGGCCACCCTGACTTGGAGTTCTCCAAGGAAAAAAAATAGCAAATCCGGAGCCAAAAAACCCAGCAACAATGAAACAGCAACCCCCAAAAAAGTTTCAAAATCAAAAAAAAAGAATCTTGAGAATAATGCAACACCAAAACCAGCGCAAGACACCACACCAAAACCAACACAAGAAACCACACCAAAACCCAACGGGGACACTACAACCAAGAAGAAAAGCCCAAACAGTACAATAGAAGAGGATAAAAAACTTTGTATTTCTTGGTTAAATACGAGTCGAGACGCCATCGTTGGGTGAGGACAGAAGGCCACAACTTTTTGGGACAAATCCACAAAAATTACATTGAACTTGTCAAGGATTACAACACAGACAAGAAGAACTTGGCCGGTTTCAAGGAGCTCTACAACTAGTTGGTGGGGTTGAATGTTGTTGGGGACTCATATTGAAGGCTCTCAACAAATTTTTTGGCTGCTATTCAACGGTTGAACGTTGTTTGCAAAGTGGAAAGACACGCGCTGATATTGTAGGTTTTTTTTTTTACTTTTTTCTACACATACAAGTCTCTGATTCCATCTATTGCTTCTGGTCCAAATTAGCTCAATGAGGCGAAAGAGCTGTACAAGACCACAGTTGGATTGACCTTCAACCTTGACCATTGCTGGGGCATTCTGAAGGATGCCCAAAATGGCAGGCTAATCAACAAGAGAATGCTGGTTGATCCAAGAAGGCCAAAGAACCCAGTACATCTCAAACCCCTACCAGCCTTCCAAGTTCAATCCCGAGGACATCAAGCCCAGCGTTCATTGATGTAGACAAGGAAGAGTCTGATATTAGCCAATTGGTCCTGGGGAGCGTGCATCTCAAACGAAATAAGGCAGCTAAACGTAAGTGAGCCAAAGAGTCGTCAATCGAAAAGATGGTGGCATTGCAAAAAGACCTTGTTCAGATCTCGCGTGACTGATTGTCCTCAATGAAATCTGCAACTCAATCAACTTTGGATGATGCGATAATGTTGAAGGACCTGACCAATTTGGACAACAAGACCCGAGCTTATTATCAAAAAAAGAAAAGTGTTGAAATTTTAGGACTCAGGCGCGTAAGAGGTGGAGGGCCAAAAATTGAGGATCTTATTTTTGGGAAAGGTTCACGGAAAAAGAGTGAAAGAACCGATGATTTTCATTCACAAGTATCTAGCTAGGATTAAATAGGCTAAATACAAGTGTGTCAAAATGTGGTTTGGAGAAAATGAATAAAAAAGAAATTGAATAAAAACACTGAGAGGAAGAAACATGAGTCCTTGGAAGAAACAAACCGTACAAAACTTCTCAGTCTCTTTTAGCCAAGCCGGATGAGTTAATCAAGAAAAAACATGTTATAAACCACAGATATTTAGAGTCGTTAATTCTAAGTAATCAGCATTTAGTAAATCAATCAAGAATGATCAGGAAAGAGAAGAAAAAACATCGTAGAGACATGAGTTGTTGGGAAGAGCATCGCTTAGGGTTCATATTTGACTCAAAAGGGGCTTAGAAACAACAAAAAAGAAGCTACTTGATGAGTATAATCTAGTCTGATTTCATGATGACTTGAAAATAAAAAGGGGTGATTTTGGGGAAGAGTAGACCAGAGAAGAGGAAAACTCAACAAAAAGAGCTATAATCGCTTGCCACTTACAAGAAGAAAAAGAGAAGGAAGGAAGAGAGAAAAAAGAAAAGGAAGAGAAGGAAAAAAGGAGAAAGAACAGAAGGAGAGAAAGGAGAAGGAAGAGAAGGAGAGAAAGGAGAAGGAAGAGAAAGAGAAGCGTGAATGGGCAAGAGCTAAGGAGGAGGAAGACAAAGAAGAAGAGACTGAAGAAGAGCCCGAGGATGAAGACAATGTGGAAGAAGAAGAACAAAGTGGAGAAGAAGATGTCACTGGAGAGGAAGATGTCAAGGCTTGATTGATTGTTTCTCTCTTTGTTTATCTCTCATTTCTGTATTGATTGTGGAATTATCAATTGATTGTTATATTTCTTTCTTATATTAAATACAAACTCTGGTTCACATGATGAATTTTTTTAAGCTAGTGTTTTCTTTTCTTTCTTATATGAAAAGCCAAATCTGCTTCAATCAATGAGTTTTTTTTTTCTTTTTCTCAAGAAATATATTGGTTCCAATTGAGCTCTCACTCCAAATCAGACTATCAATGTTCTCTCTGTTCAATGACCAAATTGGTCTTTGTATCATGCAATCCAAGGCGATTCAATTCCAATCCGTTCAAATATAAACCAAACGAGTGACAAGAAATAAAGATAAAACAGTGAAAAAAAATAGAAATAGTATGACAAATGTGAGGAAACAGAGAGAAAACAATGAAAAAAGGAAACTATTTGGTCGGGTCTGTTTCCTCTTCAGATCCAAGCTTATTCCAGAGATGATCAATAAGATCTTGCTGCAAACAGGTATGTGATTTGTGATCCCTTATTGCCTGGTACCACAACATGAATTCTTCAAACAATTGATTGCTGAGTTCATTCCTAGTGATTTCGGCTTGGGTTTGAGGTGTTTGATGGTAAGCAAAGTCCCCTTCAAAAGGGCTTCCAATCTTGTCTTCAATGGTCATGTTGTGTAGTATTATCACAGCTGACATTATGTCAGAGAGGTCTTTGTGTTTCCAGAATCGATCAGGGAAGCGTATGATTGCATAACAAGCCTGCAAAACACCAAAAGCTTGTTCAATGTCCTTGAAATAGCTCTCTTGCATCTTTGCAAAGTGCTTCTTTTTCTTTCCTTGCGGCTTGGAGATCGATTGGATTAAGGTTGCATACGGTGGATAGATGCCGTCAGTGAGGTAATAGCCAAGATTATATGGATGTCCATTGACTTCATATGAAACCAAAAGACCTTCGCCTTCTTGTAATTGCTCAAAGATGGGGGACCGATCCAGAATGTTGATGTCGTTTAAGGTACCAGGTAGCCCAAAGAAAGCATGCCATATCCAAAGGTTGTAGGAGGCAACCGCTTCCAGAACAACGGTCGGCTCTTTCTCCTTGCCACTATATTGCCCCTGGTCAGCTACCGGGCAATTCGTTCAACACCAATTCATACAATTGAGGGATCCCATCATTCCTGGAAATCCTTGCTCATCTGCAATGGCCAGGAGTCTAGTGGTGTCTTCTTCATTTGGCTTTCGGAGGTATTCTTTGCTGTAAATCCAAACAATCGTCTGGCAAAAATTGTTTTAAAGATTCAATGGCTGTTGTTTCACCTGTTTGTGATCAAATGTGCTCAGCTTCAAGATGAATTGCAAACACAAAAGTGAAGATGATCACTTACTCATACAAAGGTATTCATCCAAAGATTCCCCACTGCATCCATATGCAAGCATCCTCATAGCAGCAGTCACCTTTTGAAGGGGCAAAAAGCCTAGTCTGCCTGCTGCATCCTGTTTTTGTACGAAGTACTCGTGAGTCGTTGGCATTCTCGACATCTTCCACAAGTTTGAGGAATAGGCCTTGCTGCATCCGGAATTGACGACGAAAATTCTCTTCAGGATATGTGGGTTCCACACTGAAATAGTCGTTGTACAGCTGCTGGTGGCCTTGGAGTCAATTTTGATGAATTTCCCTCCTTCTGACTGTTGAACCACCTTGTTTTTTGGGCTGCCTTTGCTTGATGATTATGCTGGTTGTTGCCTGAAACACGGTGAGGACATCATTGTCATCGTCCATCCATTCGAGGATATTCTGCATGCTGGGGAGTGATGATATATTGGTGTGGTTGCAGGAGGCTGTATCTACTATAGCAGCTCACATACAGCCAGGCCATAATTGGAGCTGGCCCGCGACACCCGTGACATGAGGTCGCGGGCCTGTAAACACAAGCCAATCCACCCCCGGGCCACTGGAGATGCTCTAACACCTTTGTTCCCTCCCTCCACTCATTGTTCCTGCAGGTTGCTAAGCAAGGCAATGGAGGCTGCTTTCCAGGTCCCAAACAGTCTTGTCATAAGCAGTTGTCATTTATACATTGCTGGAAACTCGTCACTCTTTGTGCTCATAACACCGGATCAATCGGCACAATCACCTGGGCCCTTCTCACCAGCTCCAATCAATCCTTTTTTTCTCTGAGCTTCTCTGGAAAAAACTCATCTAAAAAAATGATGGTGATGCTCAAACAGAATATTAAAAAGATCCAAAGAAAGCGTAATTTGGGACAGATTATTGATCAAATATGTCCACAAAAAGAGGGTCTCAAGAAGGAAGATTTGTTTCATGCACTCAAAGCCAAGTCGTACATTGTCAAATGACAAAAAACCAAACTTGTCAAATGTGACTGTGATCATGTCAAACAAGGGACATACAAAATTGACTTGATTTTGATTTTGATTTTGATTTTAATTTTATCTAATGTGACATAAAGACAACTACCACAATATAACAAAACATATATTTACACACATATATAGAAAGATGTTGGAAAAAAAAACATGTATATATCCAATAGAAAAAAACAGTTGATTTGAGACTCATGGTATGTGGATACTTGAGTCAGTAAGTATGTGTAGTGTGTATAGCTTAAATATAATCATACAAAACAAAAAAACAAAAACAATATCCTTTTTTTTCTATTTCCCTTGTCTCCTACATCCCCACTCAAAAAAAGTACTTTATATAGTTTGGGTGGGTCTATAAACAAGTATGATCTGCTTGTGTTATCTTGCTTATATATTTATGTAGATGTTGATTGGTGTATAAAGAAGAGTAAAAAAGAAAAACAGAAAAGATGAGATGAGGTTTAATTGTTTTTTTCCTTAAATGTTTGTTTGTTTGTTCAGTGTTTTTTTCAGAACTTCCAATCGGCTGGTGTTGCAGCTGCCCAAGTAAACCTAACGACAAAACCAAGAAATGCATAAATATTGGGAAGTTCTTCCTTCATACTTCAAAACAAGCTTACTTTTCTTGTAACTGTATTTTGACAAAAAAGAAGAAGAAAGAATGATAAGTAAGCCCGACTTTGATCCAAAAAAAAAAAAAAACTGATTGAAACGAGAGAGGCAAGAAAAAGAAGGAAAAAAAAGGGACTGAACAGTTTTAGCGAAGATTTTAGCAGGTTTGACGTCATATTTCTTAGCCCAAGCAAAAGAGAGTCTCGGATCTGAGAGAAGGGGTTCAAGAATGACAAACAGGAGGTCAACGACTTCGAAAGCAGAAGGAGAAGAAAGCAGCGAAGGAGAGACAAGGTATGGCACCTATATAATTAGTTTTCGAGGTCCCCAAACTAGTTTCCTTTCCCTCATCGCGATCCTTCTGGAGCGACTTAGCGATGAGGATTTCCTTATCGAAGTTCCCGATTCTTTTCACCAGTTCGGCGACGGCGGTCTCCCTGGGATATCCTTCGAGTCGCTTAGCTTTCATCGACTCGGCAATGCCCTCACAGCCTAGCAACTCTTGCCGACGCGCTTCCTCGCGTTGGGCTCGATCCATCGCCGCGTAGCGCTCAAACGGCGAAACCTTCGTCCCCCGTGGGCCATCCTCCTCCGCCTTCACCTCCGCTTCTTCTTCCGCCTTCACTGACTTCACTTTCCGCTTCACTTCCGTCTTCACCTTCTTCTGAGCATCTTCCTCTTTCGCTTTTTTCACTTGTTCTCTTTGTTCAGCCGGTTTCTCTAACTCCTCATCCCATTTTTTATACCCTACAAAAAATTTCAACAAAAATCAACATCATTAAGTTGGGAAGTTCTTGAGATTACAGTTTTTTTTTTTTGGCTTGTCTAAAAAGAAGATCATTCTCACTTTTTTCGATCAGTTCTCTTTTCTTTTCTTCGGTAACAGCCTCATGTCTATCCATCCACTCCTCATCGAGATCGGATTCGTCTTGTTGATATTTAGCGCGAGAGGAACGATCGAGGCCATCGGCATGATTGAGCAAGGCGATTCTACAGAGCCGTCTGCGATACTTGAGGATCCGGATTCGGTCTGCACATTTCTCCATCGAGGCGCCATGGCTCTTGCTCACGGCCTTCTGATGATTACAGAGCACGGCAACTTGCCGATTCGCTTTGTTGTAGGCTACCATCTTCTCGGCTTCTTTGGCATCCTCGCCTAGTTCGAGCATGTTTTTCGCTAACTGTCGTTCAAACGTAATCGACGCATTGTAGGTACGGAACACTTTCGCTGTCAGACCTGACATGTAACTCGAGAGATGCTTGTTTAATGTGCCTGTCTGGATACACCCGTCAAAAGAAAAAAAAAAAAATGGATGTGCCGCATTTTTCATAAATGTAATTCGAATCGAGGAGGCAAGAGCTTTCAAAAAAAAAAAGACTTACGGTCAATCGATCAAAGATTTCATCTCTCGGTGATGAACCTTTGGTAAAGATTTTCAAGTTTTTAAAGACGGCTTCATCGACCTCGAATTTGTTAAAGAAACGGATTGAATCTTTACCCAAGAAGTCGAGCGTGACGGTACAAGGGGGTTCAAGAGTGATATTTTCGGCTCTCAAACTACAACAACCAACGGTATCTGCCTCTTCTCCAGCTTGTTTCTCGTTACCCGCTCGCAATGCAAATCTGTCGATCAGATACATCGCTGTGGCGCGTTGACGAACGGCCATCATTCGATCTCTCAATTTCGTTTGATAGTCGTTCCGGATGTCGTCTATAATATCCTTCAACTTTCGTGCTTTCTCAAACTTTTTTAGGTCTGATTGGCCTCCCAATGATGACCCGGCGGCCAGGAAAACATATTTGAAGTTTCCTTTTTTTTTCAGAAAGTTGAAATGTCAGCTTGCCATCATAACATTGATCGAGAGATATGTTTTCAACAGAGAGAGGAAGTGGTGTATACCATTGATGTTTTCTTTCCAATACGCTAGCCAACTGGCTTTCTCGGAGTGGGTTATGTCAGCCCATTTGTGCCCTGGAGGGGGCTCAGGGAACTTGCTATCGGCCCCACAATTGATATGAATGTCTTCGGCTCTGACGCGTTTCTAGCGAGGAGAAATGTGATCAATGATCGCATTGATAGAGCGGAGGGCTGAACAGACGAGAGAGACAGAAATAAAAAAATCACCTTCAATTTTCCCGTCTTGGGATGTTCGCCTCGACCCCTAAATAAACCAGGCGGTTCGACGCGAAAGTTACCGACTTTCTCAACCCTTCCATCCAAGATACAAGTCTTATATTTCGCCTCCAGCGCATCCCTCTCCTTCTTCATCTTCATCTTCTCTTCCTTACTCATAGCCTTCTTCTTCTCTCGTTCGTCTGAGGCATAGTCGAACATCGGCGTGAAGTCACACTTGGAGAACTCTTTGATTTTCGTACCGTCCCTCTAATTATCATTAACAACATCAACAATAAACAGAGTTAGTTCGATGGCTGGAGGATCGGACGGGTCCTATCAGGCGGGACTCACAGGTGGATGCTCCTTTAAAACTTCCAACCAATCATGGAAAAAGTTTTGACGGAAAACAGCTTTCTTGACGTGATCACTATTCAACATAGATCCATAGAAGAAGGCGACTTCTTCGGATTCAGGGGGCAGATCGACGCTCTTGCCGTTGTATTTCATCTTGACATGTCCAGGCAAAGGCTCGTATTCCGGAGGAAAGAGGACGCCGTTATGCTATAATAGTAGAAGGGTGGGGGGGGGCAGATATAAACGACGATTCAAAGGTCTGTTGTATGAATCTTCCTGGGGAAAAAGGTGTGCAGAGACTTACTTGAAGAGTCGACCATTTCTTAGTATCATCATCTTTGTTCTCCTCCCACCATCTATACATTGCCTCCTCTTGTTGAGCTTCTGCGTCTTGTTGGGTTTCCCCATCTGGCCGATTCTCACCATCTGGGCCATTTTTAGCATCTCCATCCTCATCTTCATCATCATCATCATTGTTTGCATTTTTCTTGCGCTTCGGTTGTTTGCCTTTTGCTGGTGTCTTGGGGGCTGCTCTCTTTGACGCTCTGGTGGTTTTGGTCGTCTTGGGTTTGGCGGCGGCTCTGGAGACTAATGGTTTGGAGTCGTCCGACTCGGATTCTTCTTTCTTGACACTGCGGTCACGTCAGATTCCATCAGAGGTGTTACAAAGAGAAATCGAAAAAGGTAAGTTTGAGTTTTTTTGTGTCAAAATTCACCCCTGGATCCAGATTGAATTTCAGAACAAAAAAAAAAAACAGACCTAACGCGCTGTTTGGCAGTCGTGACAGGGACTGTTGCGGGAGCAGGCTGACGAGAAACGAGGGGTTGATCGTCGTCAGAGGAAGAATCAGGGTCGGGTTTGGGTTTGATGGGCTGCGAGTTTTTCTTGATCGCAGGTAGCTTCCTGACGTCGGTGATTGGACGATCGGTATTTGTGGTGAGTGTAGTCGAAGCACTACTCTCGTCGATCGATCGTTTTGGGGTCAATGTTGGCTTGTAGTTTGAGTTGGCGATTGGCTGGTCATCGTCGCTACTATCGTCGACTTCCTCATCCTCCTCCTCATCCTCATCATCTCCAGCCTCCTCCTCCTCCTTTGGGGTTGCTTCTTCCCCTTCGATCTCATCCTCGCTAGATAGGGCAGATGATGTTGGGGGATCCTGGCTTGGTTCTGAATTCGGGGTGGGTAGGGTGGCTTGTTGAGCTGATTTTGTATCTGATTTTGAGCGCTTGGCCTGGATGGAAGAAGATTTAGAATTCAGGGGTTTTTTTCTCCAATATTGCTAGTTTGGTTTGGAAAGGAAAATAGAGGGCCCCCAAGTTGACTTACGATGGGTGTGTCTTCTTCTGAGGATGACTCTGAGATGACTCGTTTGGTGGCCGGTCGAGCGTTGGTGTTGGTGACCAGCTTAGCCATCTGTTGGTGTGTTGGGTAGTAGTCGTTCAGGAGAGATGGTGGGTTGTTGCTATTTTTCTTCTTTTGTTGAGTAGATTGTTTTCTGTTTTTTTTTTTTTTTTTCTTCTGTGTTTCGGAAGTGGAAGTTCTTTCTCTTCTTTGTTGGTTGGTTGTTGGTTGGTTTTTTATGGTGTGGTGGTGGTGTTGGTGGTGTTGGTGTTGGTTTTTGGTCAGCCTGGGTCTGATTGACGTCGAGTGGATTGGCTTATATAATCAGGGGGGTCATGACATGCGCATACATACACACAGCCTGCTGATCTGATTCTGGCCCGAGCCCACTACAACACTTTAATACACAGCACTTTACAACAAACAATTCCCAACTTGTCAAGCACATCTGCCAATCCACCACGGGCGTCCTGAGGATAACAACTGCTGCAAAAGGATCATGACTACATTTCAATCGATCCCATCGCGAACCCAAGGTTGCCGATCAAGAGAATCATCGGGCCGGGGTGTACTGTGTCAGAGGCTGCAACAACCTAAATGGTACCTATTCAAGTAAATCAGTTCCAAATTGACCATGGTTGTTACATGCTTAGTTTAATCGGCCAATCCAATGAAATTCGGATCGGGTGAGATCAAAAGAAACAAGCTGGAAGCACCTGGCAACCATGTGTCTTTTGTCTCAATCAAAGTTTAAAGAAAAGCATACATATTCACCAGCGGAATACACAATGGATCCTGGGGAAATGATTGGCGTATTGAATAGCTCTCACGATAGACCATGCTTATAGATACAAGCCCATTCCTTACACGACGACCTTCTTCTTTCGTTGGTATCTATGTCGTCCGAACTAAGCAAAGATCCTCTTTTGTTTCGATAATCACACATCCCATGAAGACATGTTGTATGTAGCCACATGCTAAGCGCAGTTTTCAGTTTGCTCAGTAAATCAAAACCGATCGAACGCGTTTCTTTTCATCAAGCTGGGTTATAATCAACCAAGGTGATGTAGGCTTGAATTATGTGAAGATGAAACAGATCCTGATTATCATCAAACATGACCCAGGGAAGCTTATGTAGCTTATAATAGAGTCAAGTCCCTCTATTTTTTTTTTCTTAAACAAAGGGGAAGCCATCTTCAAGGGATCCTCTGTGAATTGCCCGGGAATTATAATCAGCACTGGACTCAGTTTTAGACAGTCATATTAGGAAGTGACATTTACAAGGAGCCTTGACAAAGCCTCCAAGTTGAGATTCCGCACTTCCTCATTGTCATATTGAAAGCATCCACAAGCTTCAACTATTTGACAGCGAAAACAAAAAGCCAAGCTGTCTTCTTGCAGATTCCTCATTGGCCGCTGGGAATGATAATGGAATAGGCATGTAACACTAACATTCCCGGCAATCACCTGGGGTTTTTCTTCTTTTGTTTATTTTGCTTTAATATTGGTTATGTATACAACAGACTTAAATTAAAGCAAAGTAATAACCGCAGTCGTCTCAGGAACATAGCGATGTAAACATGAGTCTCTGGCCCTCCAAACATCGATTTATATCGAGAATGGAACATTGGCCTGGCGCGTCATTGCGGAGCGCTCCGAGAGATACATCAGGCCTGGTTGTGGATATGGTCCTCCTGAGTGCAGAGAACAACATTCTTCGAAAAGCGCTCCGGAAAGTTCTCTGATGCCCTTGTCAAGCTGTGCACACAGTTAAAATGGTATCTTTTGTCTATAAACACATCAAAGAAATCCGCTGCTTTTTGGGTGCAGGAAATTTGCTCATAGTGGTTTCAAGACGCTCAGGATTTCCTTCCAATGATTATCTGAAAAAATCATGATACTGATGGGCTTGAGTCTTGATAACGCTTAATCAAACACTATCGTCAAACTTTTATAGAAGGACATACAAATCCACACATGAAAAGTTCAACCCCAACATGGGAATCGGATTATCGGGATGCACGAAGTAACACTTTCAACAAAACCCAAGATTCATGGTGATTAAAGGTTAGTTATAGCTAGAATAAAACAAGGATCCTGACTTATCCATAAGGCCAATGCCAACAAATCACCCTGAATCTGATGCGATTGGAAGATTTGTGGCAACCGTTGACCCGACCCGCAGGATGTCTGGTCAGTTCTAGAGCTATGTGTTGCAGAGCAGCTCAGAAGTATGTACCTAGAACCAACAAGTTCTGACAATGTCTTGGCCGGTAAATATGCATTGCTGCTGTCAAGAGATGGAAGCCTGCGCCGGGCCGCAGAAGTACACCGTTGATTGGTGTATAAGTCAGCTTTACATCTCGCGTGGCGGCAATCCTTAATCCTTTACCAGGAATCGTTTGAGACTTGGTGGAGAGCAGCTGCGCTTGAGCCGGTTTCCAGCTTGTAGCATCAAGGGGAAATCGGATCCGACTGTCACGTAGAAACGTTCCCTCATATGGATTCCTGGCCCCCATGAATCATGATGGATCATTTCTGGCTCTATTGTGATTCAGGACCCAACAACTAGGGAGGATGGGCTTTCACTCATGAGACTCCTGATGACGTCTTTTTGAGAGTTTCTTTTGCAATATGTTTGGGTTTTGACAGAAAACAGGAAGTCATATGAAGTCAGATGAAAGGGTCTGCTCAATGCAAAGAAAGTCATGATGTCAACCACAAGGGTCGGCTGATAAGGTCAAGCTCCTATTACTGCTTTTGCAGTAGCTTGATTGACTTGTGCCAGCACAGGCCGGAGATGAATGAGCTTTACGGAAACATTAAATTGGGCGGTAGAAGTCCTCCGAAGCTCTGACTTGGCTACCAAACGGCCAGTGGACTGCTTGGGGGGTGAAACAAGCGTGATAGGATGTTATTCGGCGTAGCTTCAGCCTTCGACTCGGCAAACAGTCGGACAGCGGAGCCGCTTCCTTTACCTCTTAATCTGCCCGGAGAACTGCGCGTCTGTCTGTAGAGGAGACCTCAGAATTCCGCGCAGCTTCGATCGACCAGCCTACTGATTGGACATATAGGAGCAACGGCCGGAGATTACTGACAGTTTTGAAAACAGGGTATAGCCTAAGCCAGTTGATATACTTCCGATAGTTTGAATTTTTGCCGCACCCTGTGCGAAACAAAATTTGCCTCTATGGCCCCGGTCACCCTTGCTTGCAAACATGATGCTGAAAGCCAGCTTGATTGAAGGCCATCCGGACAACATAAATAGTGCAGCTTTGCTTCCAAAACTTAGTCAAACAGAAATTCCTCAAAAGACCCCAATTTTATTCTATTCCACCCTCTTTCCCAAGTTACAATATGAAGACAGTCTGTCACAAGCTACTATATGCTTTGTTTATACCAAGTTTCCTTAAATCAGTTATAGCGGGATGTCAAAATCACCGAGACAAACCATGGCATTTCAGTCGCAGTATCACAGAATCTGATGGCAATACATACTATATTTATCAGTGTGGGGGATGTACATATGAAATAAAGAGGGCAAGGAGACTTTGAGAAAGATTGATTTCCATAGCCAAAGAAGTATTCAAAGTTGAGCTATTTACCAATTTTAATGAATCTTTAAATTGCATATTAAGTTTGAAAATTTTCTGCTGACAGAACTAACTGAGATTTAATCTTGCAACTAAACAAATGTATGCATGCAATATTCAGGCGTTCATGAAAACATGAAGCTCAACATTGTTCAAATATTACCCCTACCACAGCAAATTACACACCCAATCAAATTTCAATATCTTTTCCTTATATATTATTTCCCCTCTGCAATTCTTGCCACTCCTGATATTAAGGGGGTTCACAATAGAAATTTACAAGATCTTTTAAGCCCATTTTATAGTGTTTGTCAACAACTTTTTGAAAAGTGAAAAAGATGTTTGGATAGTTCATTAACCCCCAAAAACTGCACATTTTGTAAAAATTCCAAAATTTGTTGGTAAGGACCTTAAAATTGGCTGATAAAACTTCATAAAGATCTACTGTGAAACCCCCCCCCCCCATTTTGGTTATGCTTCAAATTCATTCTAGTTTTGTTTCTTCTCTCTTGCTCTTCCCGTGCCTCTTTTACAAGTTATTTGTACTGGTTGCGGATTAGGTCTGTCAGTTCTGACTCCCTAAAAGCATAGATCAAGAAATTTTAGGGTGACTCATTTATTGCTGATAAAGGAGTTGCTTCAGGTTTGCATTAATGTAAATTAAGCTCTCAAAAATTAAATGAAAAAATGTGACCAATTGTACTATTCAAAGAAAACCATTGAATTCTATGCAAAATGGTTTTTAACATAAAATTCTACACACTTTCAAGTGTAGGAAATAAATTTAAAATTTTGATAAATCATAAAAAATAAGGTGTAAAAAAATTAATACAAAAAACATGTCCAAACTTAGAAACTGTGTGTTCTGTGCTGCTGCAAAACTGTATCTACACACGGCAAAACTGTGCTGTTTTATTAAAGCCCTACAGAATATTTTGGAATTCCAATAGCCTGTCTTGTTTATTATTCATGTTTCATCTCTCCTTCATCACAACTTGTGGTAGTACTAATAGCCTTTCAGAATAAGCATGACTTTCTAACCTAATCCATGATTTAATAAATTTTGACCAATGGAAAAAGATTTGAACAACCCACAATCTTTATTCTGTTTCTTTCTGGATAATTCACCTTCTTTAGTTAATACATCTGGAAAATCCATGGAGAATTTCAGGTCCAATTGGGGTTCAGGACCTATTTAATTCCACTTTTTTGTTGAGAGTTTTTTTTCACCAAAAATACATTTGTGAATTTTGCTTCCTATTTTCACTTCAGTTTTTTGTATGAGAGGCTCTAACATAGTTCCACTTTGAATTCCTTCCACATAGGAAATTCTTGGTGGGAAGGGTTCCTCTGATTGGTATTCAGAATTTTTTCTTCTTTGAAATCCCTGTTCAAGAGTTATGCGCTTTTCAGTGAATATTAAATTAGTATGACAGCTTCAGAAGAGAGTAGAATAAAAATCATCAATCACAAAGAAAATCAATTTTCATATTGGCTGGACACACCAACACATTTTTGTTGAAATGCATTGGTGGGCCCAACTGATGTAAAATTGATCCAAAAGACCAATCTTGTAAACCTTGCTGTGGAGGGTTGTGACTGAAACAGCCCCTTTCACAGTTAATCTGTTTTAAAACCACCTATCATCTTGTTTTGGTTGGTTAAAGAAACTTGTACTCCTGCCAATATGATTACCAAGGGTTTGGTTAGGGGAATAAGGGATTTGTTTTCAAGATCTAGCTGGAATTGGAAAAATTTAGAAACTGAAACAAACTTTTGGCTTTTTTGTCATGATCCAGTAGATAGACTCCTTTTGATATACCTGTTGGTAATATTGGATGAGAATATTTGCACCACAAGCCCAAAGGCTCAAATTATCACCCTGGATGTCAATATCCCTGAGTGGATGAGGATGTTAGCTTATGCAATACAAGCCAGCTGTTCTCTAGATATTTCACTTGAATTATGGTGTTGAAGTTATGCCCATAATGTTAAAAATCTTGCTTCTGATTTTGAATTAGCATTCCCAGATTGGATCCTTATTTTACTGCAAGCACATGCATGTGAGCCATGAATGCAGTCATTTGGGTCCTGAAAGAAACTTGCATGACTGTTGTCCCTTGAAGGAAGGTGTCCATGACTCTGAGTAGTGTGTAGTTGAATTTACTCCTTTTATCTTGCAGATTGGGACTATGTATGAAGTTGATTAAGTCACATAGGAAAGAATAGGGTGGCTTATGTTATAACATTGAAACCCATACTGTAGTTGTATCAAGTCTGGTAACAAAAAATTCCCATTAGATAGTGCATTAGTCAAGCATCAATAATTTTGAGTTATCTGAAGATGAGTTGAGATAATCCTAGGGCTTTCTACGCCATTTAGAGATGGCACCAAGTACTTGTTGCCTTCCAACAAGTACTTGCCTACAGGTGCGGGTGCAAGTGCAGGTGTCTGAGATCTGAGAATTTTCATGCAAGTACTTGTACTTGTTGCAAGTGTGCACCTGTGCACCTTTACTTCAGATGGCACTTGATGTGCTTAGTTCTCCAGATGTGTTTTTTATCTAAATTATTAATATTATTTTGGTTGATTTTTTACCAAATTTCCCGCACATTCTGAAGCAACCACTGTTGATGTGGAGCAATTCTTTAGCTTTGGTAGGGAATATGCTTCTCTCAGGAGGCACAAGCTCAGTGCACAGTCTGTCACTAGGGGGATGAGTGTGGCATTTTACTCAAAAAACGGTAAGATCAAGAGGGGGCTTTTGATAAAATGGAAGGCAAATAAGAAGAATGAGAAGAAAGCAGCAAGGGAGAAATCTGGAAGAAAATGAAGGGCTTATTATTACTATTTACAATCACTTGGTTCACTTAGTTTACAAATACAAATCTCTGAAATGAAAACACAAGAAATTTATGACCTTTATCTCTAAACATAAGCTTGCATACTTGCAAGTACTTGCCACAAGTATGCCAATACTTGCTTTGTCCTGCCCCCGCAAGTACAAGTACAAGTATGGATGTCTGAGATCTGAGATTTTTCACGCAAGTACTTGTACTTGTTGCAAGTACGCAAGTATGAGGGGCCATCTCTAACGCCATTCCTGAATACTAAGTGGAAACAAAATGCATCCAAGATGCACACCAGTTGTATCAAGTGGCATCAGGAATTGGTATCAATGCTGCAAAAAATGCAGTATTTGCAATGTATTGGCATGTATTGTTTCATGTATCATGGTCTTGATGTCATTTTTTTGTGACCAATGTGGTTCTATTGAGAGTCTTATTCATTTAATCTGGCTCTTTGCCATATATGTTGGTACAATCCCTCATGATACAAACTGTGTATTGTATTTGTTGCAGCATTGTTGGTACCCAAGATATCAAGCATGACATTGAGCCTTGCTACTAGGGCCTACAGTGGGTGCACTCAAACAATCAGCCATATCCCCCCCCCAGAAAATAAGTACAAAATAACTCTTAAAGCCCCCAAAAAGTTGGGGAAGCCATTCTATGGTGTACTGTATTATCACCTTTGGCTGGATCTCTTCAAGATGTACTATTCAAAGGGGAAGCCAAATCCCCTTGATTATGAGGTGATTTGGCTTCAAGAAAATAGATACAATATTTTTCTAGCAAATCTGAATCATCCCTCAAGTCTTTTTATGACTTCAAGCAAAGGTGAATTAATACCTGCAGGCTACAATCTCCCACACAGATAGTTAAGGTTCCTCATCAAGAGTTAAAAATATATATCATCCCAAAAGACAAAATGAAGTCAATAGCAGCAGTCTCTTGAGAGCTTACAACTTGGAATCAAGTCATTTTCAACACTGAAGCACCTTATGGGCTTCATGATCTGATAACTCTGCTTTGATTTCAGGCAACCATGAATCCACCTCATGAGCGAGTCCCAAACAAGGCCAAGAAAACTGTCCAGATTAAAGATGGGTAAATCAAACGTTCACGACAGCTCAGAATCAAATTTCTGCTCACTTTTGAACCAAATATTCCGGATGCCATCCAGGATAGGAATTGGTAGCATCCCCATCGAACTTGAGTCGATGTGTGCTTTTTCACCACTTTCTGCCTCTTCGGTAACCCCGCTTTCTATGTCAAATGGAACTGGGCCTGAGATTTCGAGGATCTCCGGATTCGTCTGGGGTGTATTCAAGCTTATAGGCGAGTGCTTATTGACATTTCTTATTCCGGAACTTTCCTCATTATCAGCTTTCAGAGGTATACTTGCTGGTGAGTCAAGATTCTTTTCACCACAATCAACAGAAGCAAAGTCTCAACCAACCTGTACCAATCTATGAAAACCAAAAAAGGTGTTTCTTCCCTAAAGGTTCAAAAGTCTACTCACGAGATGAACGAAGTTTCTGTCTTTCTTGGTTTCCTTGAGGCTATTAAAACTTGGCTCAGCCGCGGGGGCTCTGACGGCTGGATTTTGCTCAGTAAAACTCAGATGAGATGGCTCTACTAAGTCCTCTGATTCAGAAATCTTATCCCCAAGCCAAGCTGGGGATACGTAGTAATTCATGGCAAATGATCCCCCAATAATCTACTCAAAAAGACGGAATCGGAATGGTTAGTCTAAGGTCAATCGGGATCTAACCACACATGAGACCCAAGAAGGCTTAACAAGGAGGGACAAAAGAGCCTGGAGATGCATGTTGATAAGCTTGGGCTGAGTAATATGGGGATTGATTGTTGTTGGGTTGAACTCGAGTTGATGATTTTATGTTAGATCACTTGAGTGAAAGAGTTCAACGCTTTCGTTTAAGATTGCTTTGAAAAATCTTAACTCAGGGTGGCAAACTACAGAGTCTGTTTCTCCCTTATTTCTGAAAACGATGACGACTGAAGGAGTAATACAACCAGTTACAAGAGAACCGAACCACGAAAAACAGGAATTGATGTGTTGTTTTGGCCCACTTCAAAACATCTGTTTTTTGGTGCAGCGCTCCGAGTCCAATCTATGATCATCTCCACTGTGTGAATCCTTAAAACAGGCCAGGTTTTTGATGACTGCATGCATCTCTGCGCAGACGGACACAAGTGTCTTCAACACTCCACACTAGAGGAAATAATCAAGATCTCAAACGAGGAAGAGGACAACGCAGCTGACCAGTGAGTTTGCGATTCCAATATCCCTCTGTCTCAACGACCCTTGCCCACACTTGACTACTTGATATTTCCCCGTCAACCCGGCTCAAGCCATTTACACTCAGCTGATAAGTCTATCTGCTGACCAGCAGCATGCTTCTACCGGCCGGCGCAGAATTTTATACAACCATGTCATGACAGGAGAAATATTACAGCTTTCTATCCATGACAGAGCTTAATCAAATGGGATCTGGAACTGGCCAGACATCCTGCGGATGGGGACAGTCGCGGCCTGCAACTCCCGACTGTCAGCCTACGTGATGCCAAGATGTAAAATCTTCTAGCTACACGTGGTGCAAGAGTAAACAAAAAGCTTATACATTTTTGGTTTTAATTTTTAAGGAGTAAATTCCAATAAAACAAAGGAATTTATGGGTTTAATTAATAGGAAAAAATGGCCAATTTATATTAATAAAATTAATATAAATAAAACCAGAGGGGCCTGATGAATCAGGGGTGGTTTAATCCCTCTAAGGTATCGTGCAAAAGCAGAGGATTTAGGTACCTGGAACACTGGGGCCTGTGAACAGGTGTGGTTTAAATCCCAGGAAGAATTTAAGGGGAAAATCTCAAGAAAAGGGTTATTACTTACTAGTAATAATCCTATGGGGTCTTGAGGATATTCAAAGTTGAAACTGGACAGTTGGGAGCGCTCAGAAAGGTTGATTTTGGGTGCTGGGTGATAACTGTTGAGTTTCTTGAGGAATTTTGAGGCTTTAATAACAGCAATAATAGTAGTAACTAGGCTAATTACAAGTGTAGGGGACTTGTAAATGGTAAGTATGTTTCTATATGGTATTGTAAAGCTGGGGGATCATTATTTGGGCGGTCAGAAGGCCCTTTAAATACCTGTGGAAGACCTCAGGGGTTGCTCAGGGGAGCTTAGTAGGACTTGGGAGCGCTTTGTGGCCCATTTTAGCCCACATGGTGACACAACAAGGGCTGAAACCTTGGGGATAATATTCTAGAAGTTCCCAGGGGTCATGCACGAATTTATTTGAACCAAGAATATCCCTCAGGAACCTGTGGATACTTGCTAGTCTGTTACGTGGAGTTATTTCCTTGGAAATGGGCCACAGAATGTCCAAGAGGTGGTTTCTGGGGCTTGCTACACGTGTTACCACTTGGAATATGGAATATTCTAGGTTACTGTAGTATTTTCATGCATATTCTAGTTTGTTTATATTTTTATTACACGTGTGGGGGCTTTGTTGTCACGTGTAATGAGGATTCTGGGGCGCTTGTGGCCCATTCCTTGGATACTGGTAACCCAGAGGGGGTTATGCATGTATCCAAGGCGGGTGGGCTTACCTAGCACGCGCGGGGGCTTGAGCCTTGGGCTCAATTGTAGTCAGGCGCGCCTGTCAACAGTGCGCAGCATGACTACGCGGCGCGCGGGCTTGGAGACAGTACACGCCACACAGCTCTATCTTCCAAACTATACACAACACTCCAAATCTGAGACAAGATTTGGAGTATATGCATATTGTTATGTATGATGCATAATTATTCAGGTGCCCGTGATCTATGGGTACCTGTTAATTCTTTAAGTGGGTATTACAGGATGAAGGAGTTACAATTAGGGGTACCTTTGGCTGAGGTACCCTAGGTTAAATTGTACGTAGATTCAGAATCTGTAATAATAATTAAAGTTTTCTCTAATCTTTCTATGTTATTTATATATTTTTAAGTGTTTTTATGTTATTTACATAAGTAAATTAGTTTCTTTTACTTATGTAATATTTTTACTTTATTCTTAGATTTTTTATGTGTTTTTTATTTTACTTTGTTATGACAGGTTGTCTCTGCCATAGTAGCAAGCTGACATTCCCTACCCCTAAGATGAGTTTACTCATAAAGAAAAAGGCTGGAAATGACTAAGGATGGAAAAAAAATTCTTTTAAGCCTCTATTCAAGATGTTCTTTTGGAAGCTCTATAATTTCTCAAATGTATGGCTCCATCTGGGATATTATTCTCAGGTAGCCACTCATCTTTGTCTGCTGACTGGTTCTTATACCTTATCAAATAAAGTCTAGTGTCTTTCCCTTGTACCCTTTCTTTCTTATCCTTGAGTATCTTATGGACTTTGAGTTTCTCAGTAGGTGGAGTTTCTAATACAGGTACTGGTTCTGGGACTACCGGAGTATCTGCCGTCCTTTGAGTGTAGGGTTTAACAAGACTTACTGGAAAAACAGGGTGTTTCCTAGATAATTCTTCACTCAATATGACTTCTACAGCATTCTTCCCGTGTAACTGTTTAATGGTGAAAGGACCAACAAATGAAGGTTTGAGTTTCTTGTTCCCACCAAGGTTATTAAAATTGACTGTGGACAGAAGGACTTTATCTCCAATCTTGAATTCAGGTTCTTTATGGCTCTTATCCCATCTATTCTTGTTATACTCTACAGCATCTTCAACACATTTCTTGGCGTGTAAATTTGTGGAATCTAACATTGTCTTGAAATCTAGTGCTGTAGGGTGTACATGAGGTAATTTGTCATTGATGGTATCTTTGGGCATGCGTGGGATCCATCCTCTCTCAAGTATATATGGGGCTTCTTTAGTAGAGGAATGTATACTACTATTATAAGCTATTTCCAAGGCAGGTAGTAAGCTTACCCAATCATGAGTATATCCATCATGATTTTTGAATTCAAAGCCAAATGAACAGAATCTTCTGAGCATGTCTTCTAGGGTTTGTATCATCCTCTCAGCTAAGCCATCAGTCTGGGGGTGATAAGCTGTGGAGAAAGCTAATTTTGTTCCTAACATATCATGTAAGTTTCTCCAGAATTCAGACGTGAATTTGGGGTCTCTGTCACTGATGATTATTTTGGGAATGCCTACGTCAGCCATTAGTCTGTTCCAGAATAACATAGCTACTTCCATGGCAGTATCATCTTTATGATTAGGAATAAATTTTGCTCTCTTGGAAAATCTATCAACTATAACTAGTACTGAGTTGTAGGAGTAAGATCCTCCTGGAGGTAATCCAGTAACAAAATCCATGTTGATGATTTCCCATTTATCCGTAGGTTCAGCAATTTTCTGAAGCAGTCCAAATCTCTTGCCTGTCTGTTTGTTAGCTTTTTGACAGGTGTCACATGATTTGATGTATTCATGAACTTGTGTTTTCCAATCCATCCACCATGCAGTCTGTTTGACTCTTTCTACTGTTCTTTCTTCTGAAAAATGACCACAATTGACATTATCATGACATTCTTGAAGAATATTTTTTATTTGTCCCTCATCACATAAGACAAGTACACTTGAGTGTTTGTGTCTGTAGTACAACAATCCATCAAATAGCGTGAATTTGCCTAATTTATAATGTTTGGACAGAACAGGTGTCAAACTAGCTGCTAGTTCTGGGGGACTACTGTCATTTCTCAATATTTCTACTAATTTTAGTAATTCACTATTTTGGTCATAACTTCTCTGAACTAGTTCATAAAAAGCATTCTCCATGTCACATACGTGAATTCCCAAAATAGGAAATATGTCTTCATCCTCAGGGTCATATGCTGGGTTATCAGGGGTATTAGGGAGTGCCCATCTGCTTAATCCATCAGCATTCATGTGTTTCTTACCCGCTTTATGGATTATGGTCATGTGCCCTCTGTACTGCTGAATAGCAATCTGCCATCTTAACATATGCCTGTTGGGAGTTTTCATATTCATCAGAGTTTTAACAGCTGTGCAATCCGTGATAACTACAAAGTGAGAACCTTCTAAGTAGTAGTGTAATTTGTCTAGGGCCCATACTAGCGCTAAGCATTCCATCTGACTGGCTCCATATTTTCTTTCTGATTCTTTGATTTGTCTAGAAATAAAGAGAATGGGTTTCTCCATGGGTTTGTCATCTATAACAAATTCTTGATGCAAAGCAGCTCCAAGACCATCTAAACATGCATCAATGTAGAGGATGAAAGGTTTGTCATAATCAGGTTGAGCTAGGACTGGGGCTGAAGTAAGCAATCTTTTCAATTCTTCATAATTTTGGACTCTTTCCCAGGTCATCTCATAAATAGTATCATCCTTGCATAGGGTGTAGAAGTTTTTACTTACTATGGCAAATTGAGGAATGTGTTGTCTGTAGTAACTGCAGAATCCTAAGAATGACATCATTTCTTTCATGTTATGAGGAGGTTCTTTTTTCATGACAGCTGCTACTTTATTTTGATCTACAGCTAGAGTTAGGCCAGATACTATTCTTCCTAGAGCTTTCAGTTCTCCATAACCAAAATTGCATTTTTTAATGGACATCTTCAAACCAGTCTTAATGGCGGTACTCAGCACTAGATTAATTTTCTCTAAGTGGGTTTCCCAATTATTTGAATATATAATAATATCATCTATATAAACCATCATCCAGTCTTGTCTGATGAAAGCACCAAAAATTGAGTCCATCATTCTTTGAAAATGGGAAGGGGCATTTTTTATTCCAAAGGGCATTCTTAAATATTCATATATTCCCAAATGACAAATTATTCTCAAAAATTGTCTGCTATCTGGGTCAATGGGTATCTGATGGAACCCTTTAAGAACATCCATAGTTGTAATATATTTAGCTTTGGATAAATTATGTAATGAGTGATCAATACGTGGGATTGGGTAATAATCAGGTCTGGTGTAGTTATTCAGGGCTCTGAAATCACCAACCATTCTTGATTTCTCATTATGCCAGGCAATAATTACTGGGGTAGTAATTTCTACTTGTTCATTGTGTCCAACTTTCCTCAACACACCTAATTCCATTAGCTCTTTAATGTGAGTTTCTAAAGCCTCTCTGGATTTGGGACTGGAAGGATAAGGGGGTCTTCTCAGGATAGGGGGATAAGGTTCTTTAACAGTTAATTCCAACTTCATGTCATGCCCTTTTATGTTACCAATAGGTTCTTCAGTAGTACAAAAGGATTCTTTATTTATGAAGCAAGTTTTGAGCACGTCTAATTTCTGTTGTTCATCTAAAATATCACTGACTGCTGCCTGAGAAAGATATTCAGCTTTGAAGGACATCATTTCTTCTGTCATTTCATCTGGCACGTCAGGGAGTTTGATATTCACATTACAAATTTGAAATTTCCTTTTCCAATCTCCACCAATAGTGTAGAATCTGTTTTTACTTTGAAATATGTCAATTCCATACATGCAAAAAGTGTCATTTCCTAGGATCAAATAATCACAAATGGCATCTTGAAGAACTACAAATTCTATGGACAATCTTAAAGATCCTTTGGAGTGCGGAAAAATTAATGGCATTACTACAATTCCTAAGGGTTTCATTGAAGAATTACAACTACTAAATTTTGCTTTTGGGACAGGCAGCAAATTAGTTTTCCATTCTGGATGTATTTCATCTAAGAAGTTGCTACTGGTACATAAGCAAAAGGCTCCAATATCCAATAAAGCTTTGACTGATTTGTCTTCAAATAAAACAGAAGTGTAGCTAGTTTTTCCCATAGTGTAACTCATTCCTTTTTCTGGTTTATTAGTGAGCAATTTAGCATCAGAAACATGACCAATTTTCATGGAAGAATCCCATTTCTGAGGTAAATTAGAATCTCCTTGGATGGTATTGATATGTAATTCATCACCAATATCAGCTTGGATTACCACAATTCTATGAGACTCTTCCTCTCCTGGTTCAGTGGTTATGACATCAAATTGAGATCCAGAGTCATATTCACTGTCAGTCTCTTCATAGACTTCCACATTATTGATCTTTTTGCGGGGATTAGGGCACTCAGGTCTTTTGTGGCCCTTTTCTCCACAATTATAACACTCAGGTATGCTAGCTTTTCTTACGGGGGCTTCAGCTGCGGGAGATTTTTCTTTGACGTTGTCTGGCTTAATGAATTCTCTTTTTTCAGGTATATTACTTCTGACATATTTTTTATTTAAGCCATTCATAATCACCACTTCCTCTAGTACTCCTACAAACTCTGTTAGATCAACATCCATATCTTTCAACCTACATCTGACTAAGTGTTCTATGGTTCCTTTGCATTGAGTTAATAACCTGTCATTAATTTCTTCTGCTGTGGGATTATTGTAAATGCATTCAATCCTTTTCTTTTGGAGTAAGCACCATTCTCCAACTGAATGCTTAACTGGGTCAAAATAGTCACTTTCAAAGGCTATTCTTTTAGCAGTCTTCCACACTCTAGTGCTAAATCTGGCAATAATTAATTCTTTCCAGGTGGCCCAACTTTGTAATCCTATAGATTGGCTTTTGGTAACAAACCAATCTCCTGCTATTCCTCTCATTATCCTAGGGAGCTTGGAGGTAATCATATCATCCGGGGCCATGTAAGTTCTTAACAGATAATCTATATATTTAATGAAACTGATGTGGTCATATTCATCTTTCCCGTCAAATTCTGGCCAATCTTTTATTGGAGGCATGTATTTATTCAAATTAGCCAATTCAGCCGCCGTATAAGGAGTGGAATTCCTTATGAAATCTATTTCCTCATTTGATTTTCTTTGTATTCTAGGATCAGAATTAAGAGGATTAGGAGAACAGCTTTTGGCATGAGAAGAGCTTGATTGCATAAAGGGATTATTGTATTTTGGTTCTTCTTCCTGCTCAAAACTATTTCTAACTTGATTGGTACTATTGGTCTGATGCGGAGGAGCATCTCTGTTTGTTAGGCGAGTAGACTGAGAGCGCCTTGGATAGCTGTCCTCTATTGTAGCAGGTCTATTTTCCTCAAGGTTGTCAGAGTTGGACTGTACATCTAGTTTATTATTTTTCACCGCAGAGAACTCTTTTTTGATTGAGTTGAATTGATCCAGGATTAATTTACTCAATAGGTCTATTTTGTTATTGGTGTCGGCGTTTTTCTGTATTAATAACTTCTTCAACTCGGAAGTTATTCTATCAAACTTTGCTCTCTCAACTATCGCGTCTTGTCTAATAGAGGATAAGATGTAATCAGCCTGAGCCGTACTCTGGGCTGCTGAGTTTCTCGCAAATTGAACGATCTCATTAACAATTTCTTTGTTGTCTTTTGAAGTCTCACGGAGGTACTCAACATCTTTTTGGATGATAGTTAATTGCTCACTATTCCTTGGAGTTAACTCAATCGGCAAAGGTTTGTTTAGCTGTTGGATTATTTTATAACAAATACTATCGACATTCTCTCTCATTTTAGTAGTAGCAGACTCTAGACTATGTACAATACTAGCGAAATTACTCTCGCTGTTGGAATCTAAAGTAGAGATATTGAAATTTAGAGTTTCTAACGAATCAAGAATGGTAAGAGCTACTTTGGGGTCGGCTACACGTTCTGGTACAAACCGGAAGCCATTTGGAGGAGGTCCGTCACCTTCTTCCATTTGGCGGGGTCGGAGAAATTTGTCGAGCTTGAGCTTTGCTTCTTGCCGGGCTTGTTCCGTTTGAACTTCATAAGATTCTTTTTGGGTGGAGAGGGGAAATGTATCTTTTTTTCTTCCCATGGGTTCCAACCCTTCACATAACTCTCGATCTCTTCGTTGTTGATGAGTTTCTGAAGAGCCTTCTGACTCTCCTGAGCGGTAGTCAGTAAGGCTCGTAGCCTTGCGGTCGGTCCTTCCCTGGAGGCGACTAGACATTGTTTCCAGAGCCCTACGTGCTCTTTCACCCGGAGTTTGACTTGATCTTCCTTCGATAAGATCCTGATTTCCGGTGTGGAAGGGCGTGTCGGGGTAACTTCCGAGCATTCTGGGTCGATCTCGTCGATCTCCATAGCAGAACTCTTCTCCTTGTTCAGAGGCTGCTTTTCTTTCGAGGTTTCTTTGTCTTGAGACGTAGCCGGAGTCTCCTTGCGGATTATGGTCGTCATTTTCAAGTTTTCTACTCAAGATTGAAGTTCCTTTGCCGCCGCGAGGTCTCGTTGGAGCGGGGAGGGGACCTCGTAATTCTGGGCAATTTGCTCTAGTGGATTTAGTCATGGCCAATTACTTCGAATCAGCAAATAGGTTTCTTAGTTTGAAAAAGAAAAAAGGGTTTGATTACTAACGTTCGGATGTTTGGCTATCGGACCCGTTATCAGTATCGACTGAAGGAGTAGGGCTAGCTCTTTCTTGCCTAATTATACCGGTCTCAAACGTAGACACTGGTCAAATGAAAAAAGTAAATATTCTATTTTTAATCTCAGAGATAAGGAAAGGGATAAAGTCTGCTAACTTTTTTCGAGATATCTTTTCCGACGAAGTTGATTGTTTTTTTCACGGATTTCTCGTAGGAAACTTCTGAATCGAATCTGTTCGTCCAAGTCTTCTTCTTGGTGAATATGAGCGTGATACGTAGCGAGAAGGAGCTGTTCTTCTTTGGATAACTTCTCCCAAGGAGTTGGCTGGTAGTTCCGTTCCCTTTCTTCTTTTCGTAATCTAAGAATGATAAGATAACGCTGGATTAATTCGGCGTTCTCTTGGAGGTTCACTAAAAAATTTAGAAAGGAATGTTTTTTTAGGAATTTTTTGTTTTGCGGATACGAATTTGGAGAGAGATAGTTTCAAAATAAATGGAGATATTTTGTGGATTTGGTTTTTTGTTGTGAATAGTAAAATATTGTATATGTTTTTATTGATTTTTATTTTTTTCTGAAGTAATGAGAAAGGTGACCGTAAAAAAATGATAATTTTTATGGGTTTGATCAATTTTTGTAAGAAAAAATCAAGAATGAATTCCAGGTGGCTTTTTATTAAAAAGGTAATTTTAATAAAATTTTCCCGGCCAGACCCCCAATTGTCAGCCTACGTGATGCCAAGATGTAAAATCTTCTAGCTACACGTGGTGCAAGAGTAAACAAAAAGCTTATACATTTTTGGTTTTAATTTTTAAGGAGTAAATTCCAATAAAACAAAGGAATTTATGGGTTTAATTAATAGGAAAAAATGGCCAATTTATATTAATAAAATTAATATAAATAAAACCAGAGGGGCCTGATGAATCAGGGGTGGTTTAATCCCTCTAAGGTATCGTGCAAAAGCAGAGGATTTAGGTACCTGGAACACTGGGGCCTGTGAACAGGTGTGGTTTAAATCCCAGGAAGAATTTAAGGGGAAAATCTCAAGAAAAGGGTTATTACTTGCTAGTAATAATCCTATGGGGTCTTGAGGATCTTCAAAGTTGAAACTGGACAGTTGGGAGCGCTCAGAAAGGTTGATTTTGGGTTCTGGGTGATAACTGTTGAGTTTCTTGAGGAATTTTGAGGCTTTAATAACAGCAATAATAGTAGTAACTAGGCTAATTACAAGTGTAGGGGACTTGTAAATGGTAAGTATGTTTCTATATGGTATTGTAAAGCTGGGGTATCATTATTTGGGCGGTCAGAAGGCCCTTTAAATACCTGTGGAAGACCTCAGGGGTTGCTCAGGGGAGCTTAGTAGGACTTGGGAGCGCTTTGTGGCCCATTTTAGCCCACATGGTGACGCAACAAGGGCTGAAACCTTGGGGATAATATTCTAGAAGTTCCTAGGGGTCATGCACGAATTTATTTGAACCAAGAATATCCCTCAGGAACCTGTGGATACTTGCTAGTCTGTTACGTGGAGTTATTTCCTTGGAAATGGGCCACAGAATGTCCAAGAGGTGGTTTCTGGGGCTTGCTACACGTGTTACCACTTGGAATATGGAATATTCTAGGTTACTGTAGTATTTTCATGCATATTCTAGTTTGTTTATATTTTTATTACACGTGTGGGGGCTTTGTTGTCACGTGTAATGAGGATTCTGGGGCGCTTGTGGCCCATTCCTTGTATACTGGTAACCCAGAGGGGGTTATGCATGTATCCAAGGCGGGTGGGCTTACCTAGCACGCGCGGGGGCTTGAGCCTTGGGCTCAATTGTAGTCAGGCGCGCCTGTCAACAGTGCGCAGCATGACTACGCGGCGCGCGGGCTTGGAGACAGTACACGCCACACAGCTCTATCTTCCAAACTATACACAACACTCCAAATCTGAGACAAGATTTGGAGTATATGCATATTGTTATGTATGATGCATAATTATTCAGGTGCCCGTGATCTATGGGTACCTGTTAATTCTTTAAGTGGGTATTACAGGATGAAGGAGTTACAATTAGGGGTACCTTTGGCTGAGGTACCCTAGGTTAAATTGTACGTAGATTCAGAATCTGTAATAATAATTAAAGTTTTCTCCAATCTTTCTATGTTATTTATATATTTTTAAGTGTTTTTATGTTATTTACATAAGTAAATTAGTTTCTTTTACTTATGTAATATTTTTACTTTATTCTTAGATTTTTTATGTGTTTTTTATTTTACTTTGTTATGACAGGTTGTCTCTGCCATAGTAGCAAGCTGACACCGACACAAATTTTCAAGTCGTGTCAGAACCATGGATCAATAAAGATGTTTACTTTATTCAGCTACAACCGCCCCTTAATCATCACGAATCTTGAGAGTTGTTCCATGATTCCTCCGTATATTCCGATAATCCCCTTCCTATTCTTTTCACTTATGCATATGTCGTTCCACAAAGGTTGGATGATAGTGCTTCATCAAGTGGGTTCAAGACAGGTCAATACTCAAGCCTGCCATTATTATGCCCCAGTGTCTTATGATAAACTAGTACATGCCCCCATTTTTAGGGAGTATTGGTTGGTAATTTTATTTCCCCCATTTTTTTAAATGGGGGTTTTCCTCAAGGGAAAAGCAACTTGCAGATTATGACCATTTATTGAAGACTGGCTGTTGGAATTCTGCTGTTGTTGTATCTTTCTATTTTTTTCTCTTTCAAATCAATTCAACTCCTTCACCACTGCCACTCCCTTTTATTTCATTCCAGTTGAATATGCACTCCCACTTTGTTCCCACAACTCAGCCCCCTTCAGTTGTAATAGTTATATAATCATGGTTCAGAGCCAGAAAATGAAAAGCATCAGTTCTCTTGTGCCTGATCCCCAATGTCTCTACAATATACAACCTTCTGTAGTTTGTGCTTTTCTGACACACAAGCTAACAGTCTCAGCCCTTTTTTGGTCTCTCAGACAACTCCTTGCAGGTACCTAGTACCACTTGGGGGGGGGGGGGGGTACCTCCCGCACCGGCTGCGCACCTGCCAGGAGGTGCCAGGTGTGGTGCCAGGTGTCTGTTTTTGGGAAAAAAAACAGGAGGTACCACAGGTACTGCGGGTACTACCCCACTTATCTAACATAGGGTGGGTGGGATATCTGCACATTTTATAATAAATATGAAAAAATTGAAAAAATTGACTATATACACTTTCAACAGTACGTCATATCTAGTACTGGATATGCAGTAAAAAAACTGGATATGCAATATTTTTTTTTCCTTTTTTTTTGTTAAAATAGGGTGAAGAAGTAAAAAAACAAAAAACAGCACATCCAGTTTCATTTTCCCACAGATCTAGTACAGGATATGAAGTAATGTTGAGATAGCTAGTGGAACTAGGTGAAAAAGAGAGGGGAGGTACCTGCAGTACCTGCAACAGGTACCTCTGGTACCCCCCAGGAGGTTTCTGGTGTGGTACATGGTATCTATTTTCTTGAAAAAATGAACAGGTACCTAGTTATAAACAGGTACCCAGGTACAAAGGAACAATCTCTAGGGCAAGCATGCCAATCTGCAGCAGGTGTGCAGTTTGGCGTGCACGAGGGGGGATGGCTTGCCATTATCATGCCCCGTACCCAGGTCTGAACAAACACTCTTTACTCAGACATTTGTTTTTCCTTGAGTCTTTCACTTTCAGCATCAAGAGATTGTTTCAAGTCTCTATTTCCCCTTTCTCTGGCTCATCACAAAATCTTATCACCAGCTTTCTCAATATGTATCCCAACTTTTGGAATGATACCTTGGACTATGCCATTATTCATGTATAGCACAAACGCAAAACTTCATTGTTGGGCACCTTCACAGAATGAGCCATTATCACCATGAAAAAACCAATCATCACTTGATGAAAATTGAAATATCAAATCATATAAGCCAATTTCCATTCTGAAATGTAAGTTCCTTTCAAGTGAGGCTTGATTATTCTGTCTAAATGTATGTGTGAAAAGATATCTGTCTTATCCATTCTTCTATATCAATGAAATATCATATTTACCTGATACTTCAGACTCAGTAGTAATTATTATTAGGTGTTGATAAATTGACCCCCCCCCCTTCCTCCCTGCAGATAAACACCCACACCAAAAAGAAAAAAATAAGGATTGGGTTGGAGTCATCTGGTATCTGAATGGATGCTTGAAACCCCCAGTGATTGGGCCATATATGCAGGGATTATACCAAGAAAACCCAGACAGGGGCTGAGATACTGCATTTTGGCTTTCAATTTTCTTCCATGAACCACTTTTTTCACTTTTTTTTTAGCAAAAAAATACACAAAAAAATTAGGCCAAACATGCAGAAAATCCTAGCCTCTATGTGGGATATCCGTGGGGTCAGGGTGCAGGATGGGTGTAATCTGGTGCCAAGGCACCTGATTGGAGCCCTAGGTTGTCTGTCCTACAGAGTCTTGGCCAAAACTACTTCAACCTGTTGGGGGTTGACAGTGACAGGGTTCATCATCATCAAAGTGCCCCTTTTTGGGTACACATGTGGAAAGGCAGAGCACATTAAACTTAACACAAGTCCCTCCCTGGCCCCCTCCTGCAGGGAGGGACTTGCATGTAATGTCACTCATCTGGCCTGAGAAGATGCAGACAAATGGCCTGATAAATCAAAAGATCCCCCATTTGTCCCATGATATTGCTGCTTCAAGGGAGAAACTCAGGACATAGAATGTACTGATTTTTCTCAAAATTTCTATGCATTCCATTTTCTATCACCCCTCTTCATTCTTTAGATATTGCACTCAATAAAATTTAAAAAAACAGAAATTAGATTTGATGATGACCAGATAGTTCCACACCTGTGTCTGGTCTCACACCCTCATGAAAACCATGACAGCCATGGAGGAGAATGTATTTGCTGGGTTTTTAGTACTCTGGTTGACCCTGGGAGTCTCACTCTCACTGTGATTCCAGCTCTCAATGAGCCCAATACCAGCTTTGAACTAAACCATGACAAGTTTTATAATTTCTGATCTGGTGATCATGCAAGGAAAAAATAACTATATGAACAAGGATGGAAAATGTTTTTTATTGTAATTTGCCAGGATTTAAATTCCAAAGCATGTCCTCCTTCAAACAGAGGCAGGAGCCTCATTGTTGCTGCTAAAAGGATGATCCTTTTTTTTGAACAAGAGTCAAGATCCTAGGCTTACCTCCAGTAATCTCATTTCTTTACAAGGAATTGAGGTTTTGGATGTCAATTGATTGGAAGTTCAAAATTGTGAAGTTTCACCCCCAAACCTTATAACCTCAGGTTGCAAGTCTGATTTGTTATGTAAGCCTCTGCTTTGGGGAGTATCCCTTGGGGATCCTCCAAGGGGGTGGTTTTGTTGAGCTTGAGATCATAAGTACCCACAAATTGTTGAACTTTGGCCCCAGACCTCACATACATATCTCCTGGGGCTTCCCTTCTGTTTGTGGGAATTTATTCAGCCTGAAGCATAGTCACAAAAAGGGCATTGGCTGAAGATCACTGCTCCCATCGTGTTCCTCGACCCGGACCCAACAAGAAGTCCACGATTGGTTTGCCTGTGTTTTAAAGAGGAGTTTGTGGATGTAGCAGGCAGCATGGGAAGCCCTCGGGTGTGAACGGGGCCCCTATAGTATGCTATAACGCCCTTGAAGTCCTTTACAGGGTTCGGGGGTGTTCGTCTCGGTCGCCCGTTTGGTATGCACCGAGTACACAGCCGAAACCTAACCAGGCTTTAGCCCCCCCTCGAGCCAGTTTGCGAGTCTCACCAGAACCGGACAATCCGACGACCCGCCCTAGCCGAAGCCACCCTCGACTCGGGAGTAGCAGCGTAGCAGACCAAGAACCCCAATCAACCCCCAAGCCGCGGCAGACTCGCTCCCCCTCAAGACCAAAGACAAGAAGAAGAAGACGAAGAAGATGGCAGACAAACCTCAACCAAGTGGCGCTGGTGCTGGAGCTGGTGGCGAGCGTGGTGGGTTCGGACGAGGACGAGGGGCTGGTGGCCGTGGTGGTCGCGGTCGAGGCGGCGCCCGTCGTGGTGGTAAGAGAGATGAAGAGAAGGAATGGTCTGTCTCCCCAACACACAAAATGAATCGACTATCTCCCTCAGAAGTTGATCGTCTCGGAAATAATTTTTCAGGGTCCCGGTCACTAAACTTGGTCGACTGGTCAAGGACGGCAAGATCAAATCGATCGAAGAAATTTACCTCTTCTCTCTTCCGGTCAAGGAGTACCAAATCATCGACCTTCTCTTGCCCAACCTTAAGGGTGAGTTCCAGTGAACGATACTCTACCAAGGGAAGAAGGACAAGCTGAGCTGATTGAATGAACCAACAGATGAGGTGATGAAGATCATGCCGGTGCAGAAGCAAACCCGAGCCGGTCAACGGACCCGATTCAAAGCATTTGTGGCGATTGGGGACTCGGATGGTCACTTAGGACTCGGTGTGAAGTGCGCCAAGGAAGTAGCGACGGCGATCCGAGGGGCGATCATCATTGCCAAGCTCTCGATCATCCCGGTCCGACGAGGATACTGGGGTGCCAAGCTCGGGGAACCCCACACGGTGCCCTGCAAGGTCCAAGGAAAGACTGCCTCCGTCTACGTCAAACTCGTCCCTGCTCCCAGAGGTACCGGCATCGTCGCCGCCCCCGCCAGCAAACGGCTCCTCCAACTCGCCGGTGTCCAGGATGTCTACACTCAATCGCGTGGAAACACTTCCACTATGGGTAACTTCTTGAAAGCCACCTATGCCGCCGTCAGTTCTACCCTCCTCATCTTCCACCTTCACCCCCCCCCTATGATTCACCCTTCTTATCCTGATCTTTTTGCTTGGCTTTTTTTTCAGATTACCGCTACCTACGGTATGCTCACTCCAGACATGTGGCAACAAATTCCTCCTCCACCCCAACCTTACGAGGAATTCTCAACCCACTTACAGTACGTTTCTCCCCCTCCCTTATGAACTTGTTTTCTTCTTGAAAAATCGAGTAAACTAATCTTGAACGGTACTTTTTTTATTGTAGACTGACTGCTTCTAAGACCACTTATTAGTCTAGTTTCCTGCCTCCCTTCATGTGAACTCAAAAGACCAAAACTTTCAGTGGTTTTCATCGATCTTTTATGCTCTATGTCATGCACACTGAAATGAATTACTCGATTGTCTCTCTTTCTCATGTTATTAATGAGGGTTGAGTCTAAGCGATTTGCGAAACCCGCTTCGTGTCTACTTGACTCATACGGCATGTTGCCTCCTTGAGATTGTATCCCATTGTATTGCCTCGACTGATCTGTCATGGTCAGCTCATTTATGGCACAGATTCCATCTAAATGACCAATTCGTCTTTCTGAGTACATATCTCTGGGAGCGATTAGTGAATGTCCGTCATGGGTAGGCTTCGTTGTACTTTAGAGAGAATGAGGACTTGCACCGGGCCGTCATCCCTGATCGCCCAATGCACCAAACTTGAGAATCTGAGTACATGCCGCCAATGTCTGGATCTCACTCTTCCTGGAGCATGGGCTTTTGTGTGCCGCCATCCAGTGGTTTGGTTAGACTGCTCGGTACTGTAAAGATGCAATCTCATGTGCCACATGACTGTTGTGAGTTGATTTGAGGGAGGGGGGGGGAGTGGGGGCAGCAATGAAACTGTGGTTGATAAAAACCAACCTTTCACTTGAAGACAACCACAAGCAATAGTTTCTGAGGCAGTGGGAGTGGACAGACGCCGATAGTCGAGCTGAATGAAACCAGTGTTGAGCCAACTCACCAGACTCAGAAGAACAACACTCTTGACTCCAACAATACCCTCATCCCACCGACTCCTCCCATCGATCAACCAAAAGAGACTCGTCGGATCGATTTACTACAGAATGTCATCCACCAATCAAACGAGCCAATTCGGGGACTGGCCTGCCCACAAAGTAAGTGCTCCGCCAAAAAAAAAGAAACCCGCTTCTTTATTTATCTATATTGATTGCTTGCCTTGTTCTTGGGGCGGTGCAGGTTAGGAAAACGTTCTTCGAGTACTTCCAGAACCAACATGCTCATACTTTCGTCCATTCTTCGAGCGTCGTCCCGTTCGATGATCCTACTCTGCTCTTTGCTAATGCTGGAATGAATCAAGTTGAGTAAATATTTTGCATCGAATTCTCACAACAAAACCAAGATGAGACAAGAAAAAGGATTGAATACTGATGTAAACAAAAAAAAATGTGTATGTAATATGATCCAAGTAGTATAAGCCCATCTTCCTCGGAACGATCGACCCATCCCATCCATTCAAGAATCTGAAGCGAGCCGTGAACAGTCAAAAGTGTATCCGAGCGGGAGGGAAACACAACGACTTGGATGATGTGGGGAAGGATACCTACCATCACACGTTCTTCGAGATGCTCGGGAACTGGTCCTTCGGCGACTACTTCAAAAGCGAAGCCATCCACATGGCCTGGGACCTCCTCACGCGTGTCTATGCTCTCCCCAAGGACAGACTCTATGTCACTTACTTCCAGGGCGATCCCGCTCAGAATCTCCTCCCCGATCTCGAATCTAAGCAGATCTGGATCGACTTGGGCGTCCATCCTGATAAGGTGCTTCCCGGTAATGCTAAGGACAACTTTTGGGGTTCGTTTGATTTTTTTTTTTCTTGAAAAAATGAACAAATATTATCTTTGCTAATTTTGTTTCAAAAAAATTGTCTTCATTGTTGTTTTTTGTAACTCTAGAAATGGGTACAAGTGGACCATGTGGACCATGCTCAGAAATACATTATGATCGAGTAGGAGGACGAAATGCGGCAGAACTAGTAAATCAAGATGACCCAATGGTGCTAGAGATCTGGAACAATGTGTTTATTCAATACAACCGGGAGCCGTCGGGGTCTCTGAAGCCGCTTCCGGCGCGACATGTGGACACTGGGATGGGTTTTGAACGACTCGTATCAGTCCTACAAGACAAGACGAGCAACTATGACACCGATGTTTTCAAGCCGCTATTTGACCGGATCCAAGAACTCACCGGTGCTAGACCCTATGCCGGTAAATTGGGCGAGGACGACGTGGACGGAATCGATACTGCTTATCGGGTGATCGCTGACCATGTTCGCACACTCACCTTTGCTATCTCGGATGGCGGCGTACCCAACAACGTCGGTCGTGGTTACGTTCTTCGTCGGATCCTCCGACGGGGTGCACGCTACGTCCGCAAGAAATTCGACGTGCCGATCGGGAACTTTTTCTCTCGTTTAGCGCCGACATTGATCGACCAGATGGGCGACGTATTTCCAGAGATCAGATCGAAGACGGAAGAGTTGAAAGAGATCCTAGATGAGGAGGAGGCATCGTTTGCCTTGACGCTAGATCGAGGAGAGAAGATGTTTGAGAAGTATGCGGAGAAGGCCAAGAAGGAAGGCAAGAAGAACTTGGACGGCCAAGACGTCTGGCGGTTATATGACACCTATGGTTTCCCCGTCGATCTCACCCTCTTGATGGCCGAGGAAGCTCGGTTGGGCATCGACCATGATGGGTTTGAGATGGCCCAGGCTGCCTCAAAGGAGCTCTCTAAGGGCGGTAAGAAGAAAGTCGTCGGGACTGCCGTCGAGTTGGATGTACATGCCATTGCTGAACTAGAATCTAATGACAAGGTTCCCAAGACCGATGACTCGAGCAAATTTGGTAGGTAACACTCATTTCCTAAGTAACATGACTGCCAGCTTGATAAGTTAATCTAACACACTTTGCTTCTTATAACAAAAAAAATAGCTTCGAGTAGTATCACCGCGACAGTCAAGGCGATTTATTATGATGGGAAGTTCCACTCATCCACCGAAGCTGTCCCTTCATCCTCACGATGTGGGATCATATTGGACAAAACGAACTTTTACGCGGAGCAAGGGGGCCAAGAGAACGACACGGGTAGCTTGACGAATCCGGAGAAGCAGACGACGTTTGATGTTGAAGATGTGCAAGTCTACAATGGATATGTGCTTCACAGCGGTTTGGTTTCGGAAGGCGTTCTGCAGGTAGGAGACTCGGTCTCAGCAGCCTATGACGAGCTACGCCGGTGGCCGATCCGAAACAATCATACGGGGACCCATGTGTTGAACTGGGCGCTTCGAGAGACCCTTGGAGACCACATTGACCAGAAAGGGTCATTGGTCGCCCCGAGCAAGTTGCGCTTCGACTTCTCCCACAAACAGCAGGTGACCATCGACGAGCTCTCGAAGATCGAAAGCACATGCAATCAGTGGATCAGCAAGAGCTTTCCCGTGGCGGCGCGGGAGATGCGCTTGGATGAGGCCAAGAAAATCCCCGGGCTGAGGGCCGTCTTCGGCGAGGCTTACCCGGACCCCGTGCGTGTCGTCGTCGTCGGCCCAAACCCCTTCGATCTCTTGGACGCAGACCTTACGGACCCTAAATGGTCGAACTACAGTGTTGAATTTTGTGGAGGAACGTGAGTGACTCGAATTTTTCATGTGCCCCCAAATCTTACATCGTAACTGATCATACATTGTGTGGATTATCATCCCTTGGTAGGCATGTGAAGCTCACCAGTGAAATCAAACAGCTCGTCCTGGTCGAAGAATCCGGGATCGCTAAAGGCGTCCGGAGGATCGTCGCCGTCACTGGGGAAGAGGCCCGCAGCGTCTCTCAACAGGCTAAGGATATCGAGGCTAAACTCGACCAGATTATCGGCTTGCCTGTTAAGGATCGGGAAGCTGCTCTCAAGACTTTCTCTGTCGTACGTTTATCTATTTTTGTTGCCCTTGGAGAAAGATCAATATTAATTAGGTTGTTATTTTTTTTTTGGGGGGTTTACGTTGGGTGGGGGACCAATGGGGATCGAAATGATGGGATGGTTATATACTCGAATCGATAGGAATTGGCAGCACTCGAAATCTCAGTGATCCTGAAATCTAAACTCAAACTCAAGTTCAGTCAAGCCCAAAAAGAGCTGGTCGAACTAGCCAAGATCCAAGCCAAGGCCGACGAGAAGAAGGTAGATACACCCCTCAAGAGGTCCCCATTTTTACTTAACTTGATTGAATTAATTGATTTTTGGTGGGTATGTATGTAGGCTCTTCAAGTGGTGAATGATTGGATCAAAGAACACCCGAACGAAAGGGTGATGACGAGTGTCCTAGACCTAGGCTCGAACTCGAAAGTAACCCCCCCCCCCACCTCTTTCTTTTTCCAGCACATATTGGTAGAGTACTGACAAGAAGGGATAATGTTTCAGGCTTTAGGCGTGGCATGTGGACAGCTCAAGAGTTCCGGGAAGGCCGGCTACTTGTTCAGTGTCAACGCGCTCGACAAGAAGGTCTTCCACGCCAGCGCCCTGCCTGAACAAGATCTGAAGGCCAAGCCCTCCTGGAACGCGAAGCTTTGGATGGACCAGGTCTCGAAAGTGCTCGGTGGAAAAGTTCGTCGGTTTTTTCATCATCTGCGTCCCCATTTTTTCCGGCCTCTCTTTGACAACCCTCTTCTTATCTACTGCCTTATTTTTTTTCGCGTGTTTTCTCTCGTAGGGCGGCGGGAAGCCTGAGTTGGCCCAAGGCGTGGGCACTTATTCTGGCACGGAAAACCTCGATCAGGCCGTTCATCTCTCTAAGCAGCTCTATCTTGACACTTTTAATGCCGCTTCATGATCCTTTTTTACTTCTGTTTTCTTTCTTTGCTCTGTCTATTTACATATTGTGATTGAATGAAAAAACACACACACACACAATGTTGCTTAGATTTTTTTCTCATTAATACTGGTTTGACTTCGTTGCGGTCAGAGGTCTTTTTTTCAAGAGAAAGTCAAACCTTGCAAGGCCTTGCAACTTTGTCTGTCCCTTATAATTTCATGCCAAACTGAGGCTTACTCTACTGGATTTGGGAAAACGAGTGTGAGCGAGCTGGGTAAAATGGAGGCCAAGCTTCGAATCCCTCCAGGCCAAAACGCTCATGTCCCCTCTTGGCACATCGACACGTGTTCTGCAGTAATGAGGGGCTTGAATGCCCCAAGAAACAGGACCTCACATGCTAAACTGACAGCTGGAGGGGGTAGAGAATCATTTGATCTACTACTCCTACTCCTCAGATGGAGGGAGCAAATCAGGTGAACAATGATTGTGCTTCCAAACTTGCAAAAAAATCAAATAAACTCATGGGCTGTACACTTGAAACATAACTTCATATCCCGCACTGGATGTGCAGTAAAATAAACCTGGATATGTAGTATTTTTAAATGTTTGTTTGTTCACCTCTTCACACCATTTTTTTTTTTTAAAAAACACTGAATATCCATTTTTTTTACTCCATATCCAGTACTGGATATGAGGTAGTGTTGAAAGTGGTAGGTACATAGAGACAAGAAAATGATGGGCCTGTATCATACTCATAGCACCCCTGCCAATCTTCATTTTCATGTTTGCTCTTTTTCTTTTTCATCTATTTACCAAGATTCATTTTCCGATATTCATTTTAGGGTTAGCGCTGAAAAATCTGGCTTCATCAAAAAAAAAAAAAACAATGATCACTTGATGACAAGTGACGTCAGGCTAAGTTCATTGTGCTAGCCAGTATTTACCCAGCCCACCAAACAAAACTCCTGGGCACTCCAATATTTTGCCGTCCACACATTCCGACCTGTGGCCAATTAGCCCAAAAAGTATAGCTGCACCATCATCTCAAAAAAACTCACCGTTCCAAAGTGATTTTATTGTAAATGTTCTTCAGTTCACCTGAAAATTAAGTTTCTTATACATACGTCTATTGAGCTGCTGCATGCACTGAAATCAAAAATCACTCTTTGTTTGAAGGATCATGAGAAACTCTCACTGATTAAGGTGTGGAATATGGATGTGTGGGATTGATTGGCTCTGGGAATCTACTGGAAATCCACACATCCATGGGTTGAGAGTGTGTCTTATCTCAGAGGACAACATCCCAACCACTGGCACTGGATGAATATGTACATACAATTGGTGATGCAATGGAGCAACTTGATCTGGCTCAAAGTCAACCTGATGCACCAACAGGCAAGTCTAGGGTTGAAGAGGATACTGATAGGGGTGAATGAGGGGAAATCAACCTGCTTCGCTTATCCTCATGATACCTCGTTTTCAATCTTTTGGCTGGTTTTCTCTTATGTTTTGATTCTGTTTGCCACAGATGCTCGTTTTTCATTCTGGATTTGTTGGGTTTTATGTCTTATAATTTTATTTCTTGTGTAGGAAAATTTCAATCACCTTGCACTAGAAATGAGACTCTGAAAGAAAAACACAACTTTCCGACTTGACAATGCAACATTGAAGCAAGAAAACATCGATCAAGTTAATGGAAACAAGATACGGACAAATAAAAGAGGACAGCTGTGGTACGACAAATATCAGCTTATTCCTCCTTGAGGCGATCAGTGAGGATCAGTGTGAATCCTTTAATCGGTTGGTTGTGAGCCGAAGAAGAGGTGGTAGTTTACGGCATCCCAAGAATTAAACTTCATGTGTTGAGTGTACATAGTGCCACTCTAAGGGCGAGGGACACAGTGACACACTCGGGATGGGTGTGTAGCAGGCGGCTAGGTAGGGGTACACCTTTTCGAGGGACTTGGCAGTTTTTTGGTAGGTCAAAGTTTGGCAGGATATTCAGATACTCAGATATTCAGCCAAACCCCGCCAGTTACCATTAGGGTGGTTTTAGCTAGGGTTCACAGGTGCACCAATTATCCTAGCCGGATGATCTGGTTGTGATTGTCGGCCAGTGGCGGGCCAATCGAGTGGCATGTTTGGCTATTGACTGGAGCATCAGCAGATTCACCAGCAGCCGAACAGCCCTCAACCTCAGTATCTGGATCTCAGTGTCGCAAGTCCAGATACCCTGGCATGTTCGGCTGTCCGGGTGTTTTGCACTCAAATCAGGATCTATGTACACCCATGGGCAGAGTCTGATCTCTCAAAGTTGAGATTCATGCCCTCGCGTCCGAACAGGCCCTGAGGCGGCATCGCGTCAGTCCTTGAAATCTTGATGCTATGGTGTTGAGTGATCCAGAATGCTCAGCGAGGAGGGTTGAGATACATATGAGATTTTGCCGTACATAAATACTTATCTCAGGATGTTTGGATTTGGCAGAAGCTTGAGATAGAAATATCCACCTGAGGGCAACCCAAACCCCCCTCCCCAACCGTAACCCAACAAGCCCTCCCAAACCCTACGAACCACCCCAAACACCGCCAAAAACAAGCAACCCTGGCAGCCCCAGGATCCCCAACCCCGGTCATCTTTTCAGAGGCCAAAAAATCTCTAAGTCCCTTGTCTGCTCGCAACCCGACCGGTCAAGTCCCTTACCCGACAACACACCCTTCCTCCTCAGCAAGTCAGCCGCGCCAATCGGCCTCACATCAGTCAACAGCTACAACACAAACTCCTCACCCAACAACACACATATCAAACTCCTCAGCAAGTCGGCCTCACATCAGTCACCAACTACAATACACAAACTCCTCACTAGGCCTACTCTTCACCCGACAACACACTCCTCCTCCTCAGCAAGTTGGCCTCATATCAGTCACTCACTAGGCCTACACCTCATCCGGCAACACACTATCAACCACCGGTGCCATCAACCTCCTCAGCAAGTCGTTCGGCCAGTTGGCCTCGCATCAGTCACCAGCTACACACTCACTGTGATAACGATCTTCCGCGCGAATCTGCGCGAATGATGCAATTTTCCTAGTCGCGCTCACCACTTATCTGCTTTATTATCTTTGTTTTGCAGTTACTGACTGCTGAGCAGCCTTCAAAATTTCCATGCAACCATGGGTCAGCTCAAACGCAATTATTATCATAACCGTATTGAATTCTATCACCACTGTCATCCTTAGGTTTGTGAATCGCTCACAATATGGTGATAGATTTATCTTCGTCAGTAGGTCAGTATCCACTAGGGGTGTTGCGAGACGACTGGAAAAAGCCGATGTCACGTTTAACAACCAAGACATGTCAAATTTTGTTATCTTTCTATGGGCTGGGAAGATTAGTTGAAGCGCAAATTTACACGGACTGCTGATGAATTTTGCCATGATAATTCCCAATGCCTGATACCAGTGGCACGTTCTATCAGGATTTCTGTGGGGGAGCAGTGGCATGTATCATGAGCGCGGCCCTATTCGGAACCTTGTGAGCCATACATGATACACTTGAGACTCTGTGAGGTCACTGATAACAGTGCCAACAGGTATCCCCAACAGTTCCTTCAAGTTTCTTTAGCCGTATCATTTTGGTTTATCAGCAGCCACTCAAATATTTGTAAACCTGCAAATGTCAACCCCTAACATCTTAATGTGAGTTATCCCAACACGTCAAGTCTAACTTATTGTTACAATCAATCACATTTGCCAAGATACGTTCTGATTCCTGACATCAGTGGCATGTATTATCAGGGTCCCTGTTTTATCTTGTCAAGGAAATTTTATACACTTTAACCCTCTATGCAAAATTCTCTTAACTGGTCTTTTTTTAGTCTTTCCTATATTATCCTTCTTATTCCTCTCATTTTTGTGTCTTGCATGACTTTCTTTTTTTTTCATTGCATATATTTATTGCAGTCAATGCATTTGAATGATACTATACAACTGTTCAGAACCCAAAAGATGAGTTTTGAATGTCAAATCACACAACTGTTGTGAGGGATATGAGTTCAAGGTTTTTTGGAGGCCAAGTTTGGTTGGAGGTGAGAGGAGGTTGGTTGGGAATGTGAAGAGTTGAGGTGTAGCAGATGTTGGCCGGTGAATGATGTTAGCAGGTGTGGTGTGATGTTGGCCAGTGAGGGTTAGGGCTAGGGGAGAGGGGGCATGGAGAGGGGGGTCATTCTGCTTGAAACATCCCTTTTTCAATCCAAGGATCAGAGAGTAAATTTGTTTGAAATGGCTAGTATGCCTATTCAATTCAGTTACAGGAAATCAATACTAGTTGAGAAAATTAATTGAGGCCATGAGTGAAGTATGTAGTAGGGAAACTGAATTGGATGATAGTATAATTTTTATCTTATTGGGTATGATGCCATTACTCAGTATTTCAGAAGGAAGGAACCATAATGGTAGGTATTATTCACCCCTTTGGAATCACTGTTTCATGATTCCTCACTCCTAAGTGACATGTGGTCACATGTAGTTGTGCACACTATAACCAATGTGACCCAATGTTACTTGGGAGTGAAGCATCATGAATGAGTGATCCCAAGGTTTTATTTGTATTCAGTAACCTTAAGAAAGTTAAATCCACCCCGTCAAATCACTGATTCATAATTCCTCACTCCCAAGTAACATTGGGTCACAAAGTGTGCACTACTACATGTGACCCCATGTCACTTGGGAGTGAGGAATCATGAATCAGTGATTCCAAAGGGTGAATAATATGTTTAAGGTTACTGCATACAAATAAAACCTTGGGATCACTCGTATTCCAAAGTTTGTATTTGTGTTTAGTACATCTCTTGAGAAAGATAAATCCACACTTTGGAATCACTCGTGCATGATACCTCACTCCCAAGTAACATGGGGTCACATGTAGTTGTGCACACTATAACCAAAGTGACCCCACATTGTTTGGGAGTGAGGAAGTATGAATGAGTGATTTCAAAGTGTGTAGTTGTGTTTAGTAACCTTGAGAAATATAAATCCACACTTTGGAATCCGTGTTTCATGATACCTCACTCCCAGCAACACAGTAGTTGCACACACTATAACCAAAGTGACCCCATGTTGTTTGGGAGTGAGACATCATGTATGAGTGATTCCAAATTGTGGGTTTATCTTTCTCAAGGTTACCAAACACAAATAAAAACTTTGTAATCACTCATTCATACTTCCTCACTCCCAAACAATGTGGGGTCACTTTGGTTATAGTGTGCACAACTACATGTGACCCCATGTTACTTGGGAGTGAGGTATCATGAATGAGTGATTCCAAAGTGTGGATTTATCTTTCTCAAGGTTACTAAACACAAATACAAACTTTTGACTCACTCATTCATACTTCACTTCCAAGTAACATGGGGTAAAATGTGGTTGTGCAAAATTATGCCTTGCCCATTGCACAAAAAACAACAACCTCAAAAACACCTCTAACCTCCTCCTTAAGTTCAATTAGACTATCACATAAATAACTAATTATTGGTATGTAGGCAACAGCTTCAAATGATGCAAGAACCTTTTTGAAATCAAAATATATTCTGAAGAGTAGAAACTTTCTTTCACAAGACTTCTTCTTCCACCTATTTGTTAATTAGACAGCCTCAACAACCTTCTCTTCAATGGACAAATTGCTTTTCCCTTCTTCTTTCAATTCACTCTTTCATTGCTACTAAGGCAAATTGTCTGCATTTAGTCAAGCTTTCACTTGATGAATCTAATTTTTCTTTGGTGCACAATGTGCCTGGACACTTCCCACTCAGATGTATCTGTTCTTCAGTTTCATGGGATTATGGGTATAACCTTTCCCTGCCTTGATCATCCTCTCTTCTTTATCCTTACTGTGTTTGTTTTTAAGATTGTTTGTAATAACAACAAGCCAAAAATTGAAAAAAGGAAAAAAAAGAATGTGCCAAAAACTTTGATAAAATTGAGCAAGTTTAGCTACTAATAATAATTATAAGTATGTTGAAAGGTAGGTTACCAGAGGACGACATAGGGAGTAGGGTCTGCACAAAGAGTCTAGAGACAATTTCAATGGGAGATATGATGTACACATATTTGTATATATAGCCCAGCTTTATAGATTGAGTTCAAAATGATTCAAAGCAACACAGTAAAGTAAAGCAACAACAAGAAATTTGAGATAGTCTTTTTTAATTGGAAACTAGATAGAAAAAGGGATAGAAACCCAAAAATAGACAAGTTGCTGCAGTCATGGATGGAAGGCTGAAGTGCTAGCTGAAAATTGGAAAGAGGTCAACAATGATTTTCTGCTCATAGGCCTACAGGCTTATTTGAGGGGACGTGATAGAATCCCTCTAATGCCAGGGGTGGTGTTGAGGCGGTCGAGGCCTTGGAGCTGACCCTGTTCAGTCCCTTGGTCGTCCGGGTTGAGGAGCCTGCTAAGCGAACCGCGAGGTCAACAAGACTAGCTGGATCGCGAGGTCAAAAAACGAGATCGATCGAGTTGCAAGGTCCAACGCTGAGTCCCTTGGTCGTCGGGTTTGAGGACGCTAAGCGAACCGCAAGGTCAACAAGACTAACCGGATCGCGAGGTCAAAAAAACGAGATTGATCGAGTTGTGAGGTCCAACGCTGAGTCCCTTGGTCGTCGGGTTTGAGGAGCTCGCTAAGCAAACCGCGATGTCAAAGACCTGTGTCAATCGACTTGCAAGTTCCAATGCTGATAGCAATCGAGTGGCGAGGTCAAAAAAACTCGCTCGATTGAATTTCGAGGATAAAAAAAATTAGCTTGACCGATTTGCAAGGTCAAAAACCATAGGTTATTTAGATAGATAGCAGTGAGCGTACCGGTTGTTGTCCGGTCAGTAATGTTAGCGGCCGGGGTGTGATGTCGGCCGGCGGTGAGTGATGAATGCGAGCAGTGAGTGATGCAAGTGGGGTGAGTGATGCCAGCAGGTGAGGTGGAGGTGTCGGCCGTGTGTGATGTGAGGCCGGGCGACCGACTGCTAAGGTGTCGAGCCGGACTTAGCCGTGTGGGCCGCAGACAAGGGACTTAGAGATTTTTTGGCCTCTGAAAAGATGACCGGGGTTGGGGATCCTGGGGCTGCCAGGGTTGCTTGTTTTTGCCGGTGTTTGGGGTGGTTTGTAGGGTTTGGGAGGGCTTGTTGGGTTACGGTTGGGGAGGGGGGTTAGGGTTTGCCTCAGGTGGAAATATCTGTGATATATCACAGATATTCCGCCTGCCAAACACCAAACTTAAATATCTGAGGAGTATCTTGAGGATGTATCTCCAGAGTATCTCAAGTTTTGCGAGGGACCTCGAGATAAACCTGAGATGGAGCTCGCGGGCCGAACGGACCCTTATATCCTTCCATTATCTCACTGTCTGGCCCAGTTCACCTCATCAGATCCAAGTATTTCAACCCGGACAGCTCTTGGATTAAAACTTTTTGTAGCTATCGTCTCAAATCAAAATTGAATCAAAAGAGGCACACGCTTTCGCTCACAGAGAAACACCAGAAATTATAACCAAATCCAACAATGGTTCAACATCACCGGGTCGTATGTTTAGTTGACGTACAAATCCCCCACGGCACTAAAGTCCCCTCCAGACTCGACATATTTGTCGACTCGGAGACCGCGACAGTAGCGTACCTCGGCCGCCAGATTCTCGAAAAACTTAAATGCGAAAACGTCACTCTTGCAGCTGTCTTTTTCGAAAAAGAGTTTTTCGACGCCAGCAAAAATCAAGATATTTTGTTGAAGAACGTTCTAGAGAAAGGGAACAATCAGCACCGATACATCGTTTTTGATGTTCATCTTAAGGTCTCCAACCGTAAGCATGCCGCCGAACTTCACGCTGCAAGGGACCTCATGTCAAGAAAACTCACCTAAGATTATGGTTGTCCTCTTCACAGCGAAGCACTACACGATTAGAGATGGGTGTGCTACTGCTGCTGGGGCTGCTTATGGTTCGACGATGTTTCTCGGCGTCCTCAACGCGGTGGGATTTCAAGCTACAGGCATTGCCGCCGGATCTTATGCTGCTATGTGGATGTCGTGGATCGGTGCAGTTGCGTCGGGTAGCGTTTTTGCGACTTTCCAGAGCGTCGCGGCGGCCGGTTTAGGTCCAATTGGCCTCGCAATTACAAGCGTTGTGGGGGGCTTGGTTGGATTCGGTATCAGTAGGCTTGCGTAAAATGAACAATAACTGAGGTGGCGATACGTTCAAAGATAGCCGACATTAGCATCGCCGGAACTCGTCCAGGATGTCGACCGCCCGAGGTATAGCATGCCAACAACAGTCGACCTTCTTGTCCTCAAAAGTCTTTTTCATCCGATTGTAGACATAAAAGTTAAATCATGAAGGTCCCAATTTAGCCTCTTGCCCATGCTCTCCACGCTTTAATTTTTGAATTCATATCCAATGAGAACCTACTTCTGAGCCAAGTCTCGATGATCCGTTGAGTTCAATAGCTCTAGGGCAAGGGAGAGGTCCAGATTGATATCTTATCAAGAGCACAACTGAGTTGATAAGTTTGAGGCAAGGTCGTGAGAGCAGGCCTTTTGATCGTGACCGGCAACAAGCGGCAATCCAGCATTAATTAGCTGGGGAAAATGAAGGATACCCAGGCAATGATCTCTTTGCAATCGGTATAATGCCACTGATTTAAAGTAAAAATCAAGTTTGGGAAGACAACAAAGATGATGGAGTCCTTCCCCAATGTCAAATGTTTGTGTGTAACTCAATCATCTCACACATTTGACTGTAAAATTGATCATGTTTTTTTTTTATCATTTCATCCTTGTAGCTTTCTTGTTTTCATTGCCAGTGGTTTTCCTTGTCTTTTTTCATTATTATAGTTTCATTGTAAATTTTTCTTCCACTTTATTTTTGTTTCTATTCAAAGGAGAAAGTTCACTTACAATTGATAGGTATGACAGGTCAAAAAAGTAAAACAGTAGAACTAGAAAGTAACAAAGTTGTGAAATGGATTCAAATCTGAGTTGAGGAGTTATGAGGGTTGAGGGGTCAAGTTGTGAGAGCCATGAGGGTGTGTTGTGAAAAAAAAAAATGATTGAAAGGAAGGTTGCAAGTTGTTTCTGGAATATGTGCCTTTTTACATCATACATGTTGCAGGTGGCACAAGTCTGGGTAGTATTTACAACTTTATCATTAATTCATTCTCTCAGCTCAAGTACATCATGCGTGAAACACAATTGGCACACTACAACATTTTCATTTTTCAAGTTAGGGCCAAGTGTATATGAATCTCAAGGCAAATGCTCATTACCCCATTGAGGCTGATTTGCATTTGCAACACTTGAATCTTCCAAGCTTCCCTCCAGGGATGTTCTGCTTTGCCGGCACATGAAACTTGCTGGCAATTTATAATTCCCTGCCAGTGAATAATACTTGCCAGCAATGTTCTGCAAGTTGACCTGATGTGATTACATGTACCTTATATCTGCTAGCTGACAGCTCCTTGTTGAGGAGGAACAAACGAATCCTCCCCAGCACTTGGGTTATACCTTGCACCTTCCCACCAAACAGCCTGATGTCCAAGCAAGGCTTGACAAGCACAACAGCCAGATCCAGGTTGCAAACAAGTAATTAGGAGCTGATGATCTGGGAGGATGGGTACTCTGCACAACAGATAGCGGGATGAGCTTCCAGCTCATGTGTAACAGTTATGTGATGATTGATACTTTCATGATGTGTTTAGGGGGTAATTTTTGTCTCTAGGTTTGGCCATGCCAGATACCTCAGCCGGAAAATATGGCAGCAATCAGTGATGAGGAAACAAATAGTCATAAATGCACTCCTTTGTTTACCCAAAGAGGAGTAGTGAGATATCCAAGGCTCATTGTCAATGCATGGATTAACATCTCACCTTCAACCTACTCAGCATAAATCAGTTAAGGGGTTTCAAATCCCTAAGATTGCACAGTGGTCATGGTGGGTGTCAAATTGTTGAGGGGCAGAGTCCAGGAACTGGGCAAAATTATGATTTAACATCCATCACCTGCCTATAATTCTTTTGGGCTGGATGACAGGCATTGAAAGGCAAGATCTGCCAAGCCAGAGTAGTTCATGGGAAAAGTGTGACAGAACATCATTTCTATCATTGGGGTAAAGGTGAATTAGATTTTCACAATCTGTAGGTAGGATGTTTGCTATCAATATGCCAGTCCAAAAACCCAGTTTTTCTGGATAACACTAATGGGGCTATCTGGACAGCTGGGAAGTTATGTTACAAAAATCCCTCTGGATATTGGTAAAATATGTAAATTCACAGTGTGCTATGACCATGGACTATGGTGAATTGGCTGTGCCCTCATTGCAAGCATGAGATATATACAGTCACAATTTGGGTAACAAGTGATTTTCTTACTACGTGCATTCCTCTTTACAATTATAAGTTTGAATTTCACTTGTCAACAATTAATCATTGATTTTTTTTGATTGTAAGTGCTCATTCTGTGCAGCCGTCCAAGAAGGGTGTGTTGTTTATGTGTGAGACTGAATGGCATGGTCCAAGGGATCAATCCAACAGCTGAAAGATCCAGAAAGCTGTTCTTCAAGAAATGTTTATACTCTCCAAGATGTTTGATCCTTCTGAACATCCTTGCCAGTGAATTGAAGAAATTCTTCTCATTTTGAAATACTGTCAACCACTTATCAGGATTTCTTTGGTAGTAATAGTGGGATAAAAATCTGGAAGCTGCCTCCAATACCTTTACTTGTTTTGTGCAAGTTCTTCTCTTGAAATTTAATCCTATTTTATTATTTTCCCCAGTACCATTTTCAGTAATAAGGGAATTGATAATGAGCTTTTTAATGAATCCACATGATTTTTGGAAGTTGTCAGAAGAAAATTCAATATACAATAATTCTTGCTTATCATGACAAAGAGTAAGAAAATCCAAAAATCCTTTCTGTAGATGTTCTTGCTCCTGAAGATACACAAAGCCAGAAGCTTGATGGCCTAATGATTCAATAAATTTTGCATTCAAAATCCAAAGTATCTCACTAAAGTATAATATGTTTTCATCAGAGATTTGCTCAAAATTCTGTCTCTTGTGATGTTTTTCCAATTCTTTCAGCGTTTGCAACGTTGGTCCTGCTTCAAATCCTTCCCAGTTTTCTCTCCTTCTCAAGGCATAATGTATAGCAAGACCAACATCTTTCCAGGTAGACTTCATGGCTTCTTCATAGTCATCATTTGATTCTGGTGTATACCGAGGAATAGAATATTCATGTTTCCCTTTAGGATGGTCTTGATTTTCTGCATGACTTATTTCATTCACACAATGATCTAAAACTGATTTGATCTTTATTTCAAACTTTTTGACAAGATGCTTGAAAATAAAAACATTATCATTAAGATTATCCTTCCAAGGGAGTAGTTTGAGTGACAAAAGTTGGTCAGCCACCTCTGTACCAATTTTATCATTTTGAATGTACAATCTTTCAAAGTTTATCTGTGCTATGTGTGAAAAGAAGGTATCTTCATCTGAAAAAATCTTTCCCCATTTTCCTGGATAGTTTGATTGATAGTAGGATGCCAACAGCTTTACCACTGCTTTGGTAATGAATGATTGTCTTTCAGAAACAACACCTATTTTATATCTATGAAACTTTTTTCTATGGATCAAATAAAGTTTTTGACTTGAATTGTTCAAAGCAAAAGCTTCATAAAGAATTTTCAGCACTTCTTTCACATTGTTTTCACCTGTAAATTCCTCTCTTTTTATGTTCTTTACAAATTTTGAATTAAATTCTTCTTTTTTTGAGAAAAGACTCAGAAACCAGTTGTAAACAAAATTAGTCTCTTCTACATATCCTTCTGATGGTATCTTTCCCAGGCTTTGGAGAAATCTAAGGTTCATGAAAAAGATTAGTTCAGAGAATTGAAACGTTACTGAATCAATAGAGACCCTTTCCATATTTCCCATGGATAAATATCCTTCTTTCATGTCTTTTTGGATTCTTGGATAAATTTTGCTTGCAAATTTTGAAATGCTTGACCCGTTATCAGGGGGGTTGATAACCGCACGCCAACCCCCATGGCGCACGCCAATCCCGACGCCAGGCGCAGATTGGCGTGCGGGCCTGCACGCCAATCTGCTGCAGGGGAGTTGGCCTGCAGTTGGCGTGCAGGCCTGCACGCCCAACTTTAGGTCCTAAACGCATATTTATAATCGTTTAGGACCTTAAATATGCGTTTAGGGACCTGGACCGTCCCATAGGACCCAGGCATGGGTCCTACAGGAGGAGGCGATAGTTTCATGGAATTTTGGATTCTTCAAAGGTTCAGGAGGGTAAGCTAATTCACTCTTGACCTCCCTTAATTGTTGGGTACAATAAGCTCCATATGATTCTTGGAAATAATAAAAAGAACACACACATTATTTTTTCATTTCAAATTCAACAAGAAAAACAAACAAAAAAACAAACCATCATTTTGATGCTGAATGCTAGTGGATGCTTTTTCTCCTTTGAAAAATACTGCTGGATGATTTTTGGGATAATCTCCACTCTAATTGGGGCCCCGGACCTAGCTGGATTTCACTTTTTGTGTCAGATTTCATGACTCTGGTAAATTTTTAGGTAAATCTTTCGTAACGTTTTGCAACTTTAATCTC